CCAACATCAGAGAATATTTAGAGAGGAAAAGAGTCCGAAGAGGAAATTGTTTCACTTGTTGAGTGCTAGTTGAATACCAATGGAAATTATTCCCTCAAATTTCAAGTGATAGATATGATATGCAATTTACAAAGTAACTTTTATTATAGTCCATTGGAAGAAAAATGGTTGCCTAACCTTAAAGTGTGTATCTGAAAGTTGCCTATTCCATTACACAGACCTCCTACATCAAGTAATGACTGTGGCAATGAGCTTAGGACAACTATTTTGTAATTTGTTTGGTTTTTCATCACTAGAGGGCTAATGGTTTTAGGTTGGAGTGATTTACCTATCATTTGCTGTTTATAATATCTGAGTACAGACAGGTTTTGCTTTTATTTTCATTTTGCAGTAGAAATGCATGTTAAATGTTTAATTTCTCTCTCAAATGTCATATGATGTTGTCTCAGCTGTTTTCAGTCAAGCAGACATGTTCAACAACCTGTATCCACCAGGCAATGAGACAGCACTTTGGAGAGAAAAAAAAATGAAAAGAAAAGCCAACATTAACATTGGCAGATCCCCACATGGCAATTAATTATTGCTTCTGTTGCTGCTCTTATTACTTTAGGGTGAACCTTCCCTAGATAGTTTCATTTCAAGACCTATGGCACTGCATGTTTGTCTCCCAGCTGCTGGGAATCCATACTGACACTCAGTGCATGGTGTCAAAGTGGGGTTTGTGATAATTTCTCTCTCTGTGTGCCACATCAATGGCAGGCAGGCTGGCTGCTGAAGCTCATGGAAATCTAGACCAGCAGCAAAACTATTGATTGATCCCTGGTGTCAGAGGTAGGTAATTTATTTAATGGTTTAGTTCTTTGAAAGATTCATGTTGAACTTGTCAATTCTTAATTGGTTATTTCAACTGCCTACTGCAAGCTTGGCTGCCAGATCAAGTGTTCAGGAGATGATCATGGATCAGACTGAATTTGGTTGATCTCATTACCTCGTGAGAGATAAAAACAGATGATTTAAAAATAACGAGTTTGAACATTTGTTTCTTGAATGGAGTATTATACTCATCATTTCCCAGTAACCAAAAACATCAGGGACTAGATGAGGATGAGGATGATAATGATAATAATAATAGAAAGGTATGATAAAATTCTAATTCTTCAAAATTTTCAAGAGAAAAATATCCCCCTATTGCAAAGAGATTTGCTGCTAAGTGACAGAATCCACTGCTGAATTATCTGACTTTTGCAATGAATGCCTTTCGTACTTCAACATAATTTCCATTTTTGAAGAATAACAATACATCCTTCAAACAGGAAGATGTTGTTTCAAAGAGTTCGCATTGACAAATGGTTATTTGGATTTTGTTATACAAGGGGATGAAAGTGGCTGTAGAGAAGACAGAGCAAATGTGGCCATTGCCTGGCCATGCTAAGAGGCTCTAGCAAAGAAATAAAACACATGGTACCTCGGAGTAAAGTGGAGATTGTGGATAATACTCTGGAAATTCATTGTCTGTTGTTAACTGCTCTGTTTATAATGAGGATTAAATAAAAAGAATTAAACCCTTTGACAGGTAAATCCGTAGTTATCTCTATCAATGGTGGAGAGAGTAGGATGTAAAACATCTAGGTCAGTAAAAATGGAAACTTTTTGTTAATTACTGTGAAGCCTTTTTCTGTTAATCATTGCTTTGCCTAAATTGTTTTATTTTTGAAAGATTCCACTCATAATACTAACTCTGAATCACCAAAGTTATGGTCTGCACCTAGAGCTAGGTGGCGAGCACTGAATAGCAGCTGTTAGCTAATCAGCACAGCTGGGCACACTCCTCTATCTCTTGCCTGCATGTGTCAGCATTTCAGTTGGGCAGTTATCTGTGTGCACAAAGGTGCATGCGGGGGGAAAAATTAGCAGAAGGGTGCTTGTTCTGGCATCAGGGAAATATTTATAAGCTGTCAATGGACATATAGAACCTCAAAAAATTAAAAGCTAGACCTTAAATAGTAAAATACTGAGATCTGAAACAACCCCACACAATGGGGAGCAGGATGCAAAACCCCTGTGTATTCAGAAAGTAGATCTTGATAATTTAGGAAAGTCAGGGTAAAGTTAGGGAGCTCTAAGTTCTGGAGAGGCTGGAGAGGATCCAGAGAAGGGCCACAAAAAGGATCAAAGTATGGGAAGCCTGCCATATGAGGAAAAGCTGAGAGAACTGAGTTCAGCTTTGAGAACAGAAGGCTCAGAGGAGACCATATCACCCTGTTCCAGTATTTAAAGGGTGGCTCCCTTTTTACAATGAAAAAGACGGGGGTAATGGGTGCAAGTTACTTATGGGGAGATTCCAACTGGATACTAGAGGAAAATTTTTCACAAGAGCAATCAGCCAGGAATAATGTTCCCAGGGAAGTGGTGGATTCTCCAAGGTTGGACACATTTAAGATTGGTCTGGACAGGGTGCAAGGACATCTAGTTCTAGGCCATACTTTGCAAAGAAAGGTTGGACCAAATGATCTTTGAGGTCCCTTCAACCTTGTATTCTATGATTCCAAGGAAATTAGACTGTGACACAAATTCTAACAATTACAAGAGAATTGATTAAAAGACGTAGGTTGTAGGAAACACTATGCTTCCATAATAGCACCTGTAATAATTTTGTTTCCATGTTTGTGATGATTTATTAATCACAGTATCACAGTATGCTAGAGATTGGAAGGGACCTCGAAAGATCATCTAGTCCAATCCCCCTGCCTGAGCAGGAACACCTAGATAAGGTTACACAGGAATGTGTCCAGGCGGGTTTTGAATGTCTCCAGGGAAGGAGACTCCACAACCTCCCTGGGCAGCCTGTTCCAGTGCTCCGTCACCCTCACTGAAAAGAAGTTTCTTCTCAAGTTTAAGTGGAACCTCTTGTGTTCCAGTTTGTACCCATTACCCCTTGTCCTGTCATTGTTTGCCACTGAGTAGAGCCTGGCTCCATCCTCGTGACACTCCCCCTTTATATATTTATAGACACTTATAAGGTCACCCCTCAGTCTCCTCTTCTCTAAACTATAGAGACCCAGCTCCCTCAGTCTTTCCTCATAAGGGAGATGCTCCACTCCCTTAATCATCTTGGTTGCCCTGCGCTGGACTCTCTCCAGCAGCTCCCTGTCCTTCTTGAACTGAGGGGCCCAGAACTGGACACAATATTCCAGATGCGGTCTCACCAGGGCAGAGTAGAGGGGAAGGAGGACCTCTCTCGACCTACTAACCACCGCCCTTCTAATACACCCCAGGATGCCATTGGCCTTCTTAGCTACAAGGGCACAGTGTTGGCTCATGGTCATCCTGTCATCCACTAGGACCCCCAGGTCCCTCTCCCCTACACTGCTCTCTAACAGGTCGTTCCCCAACCTATACTGGAACCTGGGGTTGTTCCTGCCCAGATGCAGGACTCTACACTTTCCCTTGTTATATTTCATCCAGTTATTCCCTGCCCAACTCTCCAGCCTGTCCAGGTCTCGCTGGATGGCAGCACAGCCTTCTGGCGTGTCAGCCACTCCTCCCAGCTTAGTGTCATCAGCAAACTTGCTGATAGTACACTCAATTCCCTCATCTAAATCATTGATGAATATATTAAATAATACTGGTCCCAGTACTGACCCTTGAGGCACTCCACTAGTTACAGGCCTCCAACTAGACTCCGCCCCATAGACTACAACTCTCTGGCTTCTCTCCTTCAGCCAGTTCACAGTCCACCTCACTACCTGATCATCCAGACCACACTTCCTCAATTTAGCTGTGAGGATGCTGTGGGAGACTGTGTCAAATGCTTTGCTGAAGTCAAGGTAGACCACATCCACCGCTCTGCCATCATCCATCCACTGTGTTATTTCCTCATAAAAGGCTAAGAGATTGGTCAAGCATGACTTCCCCTTGGTGAAGCCATGTTGACTGCCCCTCATAACCCTCTTATCCTTGATATGCCTTAAGATGGCACCAAGGACAAGGTGTTCCATCACTTTCCCAGGGATGGAGGTGAGGCTGACCGGTCTATAGTTACCTGGGTCCTCCTTCTTGCCCTTTTTGAAGACTGGAGTGACATTTGCTTTCCTCCAGTCCTCAGGCACCTCTCCCGTTTCCCAAGACTTGGTAAAGATGATGGAGAGTGGTCTAGCAATGACTTCCGACAGTTCCCTCAGCACCCGCGGGTGCATCCCATCTGGACCCATGGATTTATGGATGTCCAGATTGCTCAACTGGTCTCTAACCCATTCCCCATCGACTAAGGCAAACCACTCTGTCAACCTGACTTCATCTAAGGTCTCAGGGGTACGGGGCTCTTCAGGACTGCCTGCAGCAGAGTAGACAGAGACAAAGAAGGCATTCAGTAACTCTGCCATCTCTGCATCTTCTGTCACCAGGGCACCCATCCCGTTCATCAGTGGGCCTACATTGCCTCTGGTGTTAGTTTTGTCTGCCATGTCTAATGGTCAGGTTCTTTTTCTCTGCAATTTTCCTCATCCATGGTAGTCTGGAGAAACTTGTTTTAGTGTTTTTCATTTGTTTAAAAATCTCTTGCACATCAGGGGCAGCATTTCTCAAATTCCTGTGTTTCTGTCAGTCAGATGCTGCTTTTTAATAACTAGGGTGTTGCTCTGAGCAGACATTATCCCAAATATTATTGATTCATTCTCTTCCATTAACTCCCTTTTCCCCAAACCAAACTGAAAAAAACCCCTGCAAACGAAACCAAAGTTTTGTTCTAGCCAGGCTGCAATAATGTTCTGAACACTTTGTCAGCTGCCAAAACACAATATGTGGAATATTACTATGCCCACCATCTTAACTGTTAATGGAGTTTGGGTTTTGCGTTTGGTTTTAGATGTTGTTTTTTTTCCTGTTGTTATTGGTTTTAATTATTCAATTATTTAAAATTTAAAAAATTATACAATATATATAAATATATAAAAATATATAATATTGAAATTATTTTATATTATTTAATTTATTATTTAAGCATGTAGCAAGTAAATATTAAATACTGCTGTCATGTTAAGAAAGAAGCTTCTTTTTTATGTCAACTCATTTTGAATAAGCCACATGTGATGAGCATTTCTCTTTTGCCTTTTGGTTAAGAAAGAGTTTTTCTTATTCATAAATACTTTCATATTCTACATTCTCAGTTGAAATTCACACATGTTGTTTCAAAGAGACATCCTCGTCATTGCCACGTAACCAGAGAATGCATTCTTGAAAGAAATCTTAATTTTGTTTCATTTTTAAGCTGTTTGTATCTACAACTCTGGCATGCGTTGTTGAACACATTCAGTTCAAGGCAAGAAATTGCAGGGGCTCTTGCTGTACAGCAGAATGTACAAGAGGCCTTAATATCACGGGTTCACTTCACTTCTTAAATTAATGATTCCAAATAAAATATTGAAGGTTTGTTCATTTACTTCCTAAATTAAATTACATGGAGAAAAAGTGCTAAAACATTACTAGTTTTAGCAGTATTTTTCCCATGTATGGGTTGAGGTTAGGCTTCTCTTGCAGAAAACCTCCCTTAAGAGGATATTTGCCAGCTACCAGGGATTATCCATATCTATTCACTGCAACTGCACTAGCCTGTGCTACATTCTCTGGAGGATTTTTGTTTGTTGTGCATCTTGTTATTACTCTTACTTTTAACTTGTTGATGCTGCCAGTTGTAAAGCCCTCTACTCTGAAGTTTGGACAAGACAAATTCTCGGGGATTCATGAAAAAAAACTTTGTGGCAATATCTCAGATTTTAAAATTACAGTAATGAGAAACGTTACACTAAATTTGAAGGATTAGGTTTCCTTTTGTAGTCCACTTCTAAAATATTTTATTTCAGAAACAGAGTGACTGAAGAACTTAATTTTCCCTTATTCACATTACATACCTAATTTTCTTTATTCTCCTATTTGAATATCTGACATCTGAAAGTTCTATTTCCCAAATTTGCCTATTTTGTTATGTCCATCTTCATTGCTTTAGTCTATGATACTGTTCATTTTCATTCCACTTAAAATCTAAATGGATATTTTCATGATTTTTAGTTATTCTGATACTTCTTCTGTTTATTGATCGGTTCGGTGCAGTGTATAAAACACTGCTTATCAGGCAAGATTGAAACACATTGGAGTCACTGACTTACCATTTCAGTGTTGCAGACAACAGAGTGCATGACAGCTACTTTGTGGCTTGTCTTGGCATCTTAGGCTCCTTCTGTTTTCTTCCCTTTTGACATTTTTCATTCTTTATATATTCAGGTTGACTTAGAGAATTAGAAAGTTTAGGATGTTTTCTGTGTTTAGATTCTACTTGTAAACGCTGCTTCAAGGTTACCGTGAGCCCTGAAGGATGCCTGCTCAGAACAGCTAATTCTTCTCTAATGTTCCCCAAATCAGCCCTCAGGTGATGTTTATTAAAAGAATTAAAATTTTAGGAAAGTCTGAAGGAGAATATGTGAGGTTTGTAAAGTATGGGGAAATAATAGAACACTGGCTGAAAATACTATTTCTATTTTAATACTGTGTTTTCCTCACTGCAGATGCTTGTGAAACTACCTGTATTTCTTTTTGCAAAGTTGAAGGCAGTTCTAAGACAACACTAACCAATCATAGTTTCCACAAATTAAATTGCCTAATCAATAATTTATATTCCTTAGTGAAAAGGAACAAAGGCCTCTTCAATCCCATGGGAGTTACACAGAAAACAAGCAGGAAATGCTCATCATCAAGTGGAAAAGGTATGGAAGATTTGAACTTGAAAATACACCGGGCTTTGGATACAAATCTCATTCATAGGTCAAGAAAGAAGTTGTTATAGAAACCTTATTGTGAAAATTAAGTTGTTCCTGTTCAGAGAGCTGGGACTAAGTATTTCCTGGTTTAGTACTTTATGTAGCAAAATACTACAGAAATTACTGGTGGTTTAGATATCTATTTAGATTCTGTCCCTCCCTCTTCTAATTTATAACCATAAATTACACAGATTTACACTGTCTTTCCACCATCAAGGTCTGTCTTTCAGCTCTTTGTTTCCTAAGGTAATTTGTTTGCTTCCTTCTCACTTTATTCATATTGGTTCCACAACATCTCACTTGGGCCTTTAGGCTCTTGGCTTTCTTGTGTATTGCTAACATTCCCATGGGCAGTTCCAGCAAATGTAAAGTATGATATGGCTTACCATTATTTTTCTATTGCTGTTTATAGGGTGAAATATGAATATACTCCCTTTTCAGTTTAAAGGGTTCCACTCTCTTCCGCCATGTTCCTCAGAAGGCTACATGAAACAATCATTTTACAATAAGTCCTGTGATTTGTGATACAGTTTATAGAGCTTCATACAACTACAGGATCTTATAGAATAATGATAAACCAATACAAATCAAAATTAGCAACAGAAGCATTGGCACATACCCTAAAAAATAAAGGTACTGTAAAGATGCACTTAAAAATAAAACACATTCACCTCACGTAGAAGATATTCCTATGACAGATGCCTTGCCTTCACTGCAACTGTATATAGGCATGTTCTTTCCACTAACTAGTCTGTGATTACAAACTGAAATATGATCTTGTACACTTAAGGCATGATGGAAATTCAAGAACTGTGTCAAATAAAGGGGCAAGGTTGAAATATTGATAACCTTTCGACATCACTGACCAAGCTAGAAAGCAGGAAGAGAATAATGCCTCCTCAGCTATCAAAATTGCTCACTACAGTTAAAATACTAAAAAATTCTGTAACTTTGGAACAAGTAAATCTGCTGAAATGTCTTCCTTGGATATGAAAACCTCCTGTTAATTAGACTGGATTACACTATGAGCTGAAGCAATCCTGCACTCAAAATTTTCCAACTGAAAAAAAAAATATAATCTGTTACTGAACACAGTTCCTGAAGGGACTTGTAAATCTTGCAGTAAAACAATTGTAATCTTAGGCAAGACGGGCTCACAAGGTCCCCTAGTAGTTCCAGTCCAGCTAGGAGAGCACATTGTTTTGTTAACAACCATAAGCACAAATTAAGTAACACAGAAGCTGCTTATTCTTCTGAACAACTTTCTAAATAGCTAAAAATCAACAGAATTTGTTTTTTTTTTTTTATGTTATCGATGGGTATATGTGTGTGTGTATATATATATATATATATATATATTAGTTTTATGGGAAGAAAATGAAAGAAGAAGATGAAGAAAGCCAAAGGAGAGTATTTCAATGACAGAGGTAATTAATAGTTTAGTTAACTCGAAAAACTGAAGACAGGGGTACAGGATGGGAGTCCATCCAGGTAATCTCAGTCCTTCCCACTGAAAAATTTCAAGTAGATTCAACTGGACTACAGGGTAATAGATTTAACTCAGACAAAATGAACCATGTTTTTTGCAATGCTAACTTTAGGATGTTACTGATTTGATTAATTTCAACTCAGATTTCCCACTCAAACAATTCAGAAAAATTAACAACTGCAAGAAGCTCATCTAAATTTTCATTTATGATGGAGCTTTCATTCTTAGCAATTATCACCAAGAGCAGAACATCAAGCTAAGAGAAAAGATACTTAAGACTTTTTAACCACCTCTGATGTTGATCTGTTGTGTTATCTTTGGAGAGGCATTCTGCACCTTTATGGCCCTCTTCTTGAAACCTGTCTTGTTTGTTCAGATGAAGAGGAAAATTCTAGTTTACTTTGCAGCAAGGACATCACGTGTTTTGCTATTAATGCCTGATACCTGGCTCTACACAGCTTCAATCTATCTCACTTGGAAAGTGCAAAAGCTGTTGTATCAACACAGCTATAGAAGATAGGTCATAAACTGTTGAGAGAGGAATCTAAAGAATAATTGTGCTTTTTTTTTTTTTTTTTGGTGGTGGTGGTGGGGTTGTTACTTCCTGCTTTTGGGCTAGCTCTTGGCTTTGTGTCTCTCACCCCATACCCTCAGCCTCTTCCACATCATCTTCAGAGCCAAATTCGGCTTTGATTCTCAGACTTTCATTGCTGTGGAACCTGAAAAATCGCGTCCTACCCTACATTACTCAAAATGGAGTACCTGTATGTCACACTAATTAAAGATAAAAAAGACCAATAATTTGTGCATTACAAAGAAACCAAGCTGATGTGACTGTGTCTTTATGGTGAGGTCTGTTTCCTGTGAACAGCTGTTATGGGTAAAGGCAGGGCTATCAATCATTTACCTTTTCTGCTGTGTTAATGTCATAGCAGTGAGTGGGAAATGTCAAAGGAAAATGGCTTTTCAAATAAAAACAATTTTGTAATTCAATCATATTTGACTGACCATTTCCTGCAGTTAAATTCTCTAGATTTAAATAACTGTCAACAATCAATAATGAATTATATAAACATGATTTTCTTTCGGTTTGATCTCTTACTAAAATGTGTCTATTCATTAACAAAAAGCTCTGGCTTAGATAAGGCCAGGCACAGACACACCGGTTTATGCTCGGTTGACTGAATCTTTAATAGGGCATATCAGTGAACTTTCTTGCCAGCTACACTTGCTGTGTCCTTAGCATTCTCAGAAATCGCTTCAAATATTGCAGGAGCAGTTTACCACAGATACGATATACCTAATCCCAGGATTAATTTTGTATGCCCATCAGTACTGAAGCAGGGTGGATTTAATAGCCCATTAGCTTTTCAGCATGATAATTTTCACATCACTTAGCCTGCTGGGCTAATTGTTTTAAAATGGATATTATTGACCTCAGTCCTAGTGACAAATAGAGAATGTCTTATCCATTTTCCAAATGTACATTCTTAGACTCTTGTTTCTTTTGGTCTTGACTGACAATAAATCCCATACATTATGTGCCTGAATATTATAATTTATACTCTATAGGCTCATATTTTTGGGCTTACTAAAGCAACATCTCTCTGCTATTACCCATGACTTGGCTAAGATTTAATTTTTGTTTTTTTTTTTTTTCTGTGAAATGTTGCAAGCATAAGAAATCATTGCTTTATCTCTTGTTAAAAATTATTTTTAATGCTAAAAGCTGTAGCAGGTGCAGCAGGGATTAAGCACTTTTGGAATAAACAGCTGGCCAGTATCTTTCCAACCACAGAAGTCTGGTCATCAGGAAGAGAGAACGAAGAACAAATTTGGACAGAGAAACTGTAGGAAAGGAAAAGCAGATTCTGGGGTAGAGAAATAGCAAAATCTATCAGGAAGAAGAAAACCAAAGAGTAATGCTGAAGAACGGAGTTTTTATTCATGTGTATTATTTGTGAGTTTTTTCCCTTAGTAATTTAGAGAAAACACAAGCCATCTGCTTTGAGGGAACTTGTGCTAGCTGCGAGCAGCAAGAAATAGAAAAGCAGGGAGCAGAATAGTGATGCAAGTTACAGTGTTGCTTGTGAGGAGGTGAAACAGGGCTGGAAGCTAATGTAGCTAGCTTTCACACCTATATGTGTCAACAGCATAACACATACGTTTATACATAGGTGGTTGTATTTCTCCTGCACCGATTCCTGTGGGAAACAAGATTTAGATGCTTGACTGTAGGAACTCAAGGTTTGGAACAGATATGCTCACAGTCTCTAGAAGTACCCAAATCCAACAGAGTTTCTGGGTATTTGTAAAATGGTGTATCCTCACAAGCCTCTGAAGTCTCATCATATGGTTTCCTGGCGTAAGTCAACTTTGTACTGAGATACAGAATGGAAAGTTTTGGTATTTTTAAAAGGTGATTTCTAAACCAAATTAATGTTAATAGAGGTCATTTATTTGCTAGCATAAGCCCACACTGATGCTGACCATAAATAACTTCAGAACTGTTTCTTCATGAAACAAAGTAGAGCCTGCTCTAGTGTAACACAAAATCTGCAGGACTCCTATGGAGCTTTGTGAGTGACTTAAGCCTCAGGACCTGGATTTTCCCTGGGAGCTCAGTTCCACCTTTTAATGACCATGACAAAGGTACTGTTTTTATTGACAACTGTTCCTGTGTGACATTCATGTTAAGTACCTTGGGACACAAGCAGTGGAAGTGGGACATTCTTGCTTCAGTTACAAGGCCCTTTGCCTCTGGTTGAAACAAAGCCCAACTCTTCCCTACAGCAGGCCTTGTGGCCAATCATTGCTCTCCAAAGTATCTTCCAGGAAAAAAAACAAACCCAAACAACTTGTTTTTCAGCCTTTAACCTTCTTTTCCCCTAAATGTAGGTCATCTACTTTAGGTCATTTAGGTCATTGGAAAATCTCCAATGTTAGTATGTTTTGTAGTAGGCAAAGAAAAAGAAAGGAAACCTTGTGCATAAGAATAATATCAGCATTTCAGAGAGAAGTGAAAAATCAGAGGAAGTAGTGAGAATTTGGTCATTACAACACTGGAAATATTTGTGTGTTTACTTTTAAGAATGCTATGTAAGCAGTATTTAATGGTTTAGCAGCGTCTATCTTTCAATGTGAACAGCTCCTGCCATCCATAATAGAAAACTTTGAGATAAGTGCATTATACTTTGGGTTTAAAACTTAGGTCTGGTTGATCAGCTCACGTAAATCAGCACATCCAGCAAGATCAGAGGAGGAATGTCAAACTACTGATGCTGAACACCTAGTCCTAGATTTTCTTAACTAAACCTATGAGGAAACGGAACATCTTGCTCCCACAGAAGCTAGAGCTAACACATGTACTGACGTCAGAGCTGCAAAACCCGGCCCTAAGTACGTTGCGTTGGGAATCTTTAAACCGTAAGGAGATTTTAATCACACATAGAGTTGCCAGGCAGTTTTGCAACTTAAATCGTGAAATTATAAGTACATGATTCTTTTTTATATATATATTTTTTACGTTGATTTTGCACACTGTTTAAAAGAATTCCTTTAGGCACCGTTGTAAAGAACAAAACCACATTTTATACATCAGCAGCAGATCCGAGTTCCAGCCGCAGTCAAGGGTTCCTCAAGGATATCAGCAGATATACGTGACTGCTGGCTCTGTTCTCTTTCCTTTCATGAGTAAATGTCCAGTCGGCCACCGACAGCCAAATTCCCAAGGGGAAAATGCGCACTTCCCATCTTAGTGGCAAAAAAGACAGACCCATGTCAACGTCCTCCTCACAAACCCTGCTGCCTTGCGAAAATCGCACTGACGAGCCCCTCTGTGCAGCGCTACACCCTCCGGTCCGCCCCCGCGGCAGTCCCACGGCCGCCGGCAGGGACTCCCTGGCTGCCCCCTCTGGGAAACGCTTCCTGAAAGGACCGCCTTCACCTCAGCCTCCATGGCCGGATTTTAGGACTTTTGGGAGAAGAGGGCACGGCAGAGGCTCACTGGGAGCGCCGAGGCGGGGCCGGTGTTATCTGCTTTACGAACAGCCCCTCTGGCCCTAGCCCGCCCGCACCTCCTGGCTCTGAGGGGATTGTGGGGGACCGGCGGCAAATGGCCGCGCCTCGCGCTCACCCCGAAGGTGGGGGGCGTCGCGGGCAGCCTTCCACGAGCACACGGCGGACAGGGGCGAGCCAGACATTGTGCTCAGATCTGCCCGCTTGGGTTCCCGGCAGGACCAGCCCCTGCCCGTCGCGGCGAGTCACGGCAGGTGACACGACCCCGCTAGAGGCACCGCCCCCGGGCTGGGGTCTCGGCGAGAGGGGAGTGCGTCCTCCCGCGCGAGAGAGGGCGCTGTCGCCGGAGAGCGCGTTTGGCTCCGCCGCCGCCATCTCCTTCTCTGATCTCATAAAGGTGTCGCGCAGGTTCCGCCTGGGCTCGTCATTCAGCCGCCCCGGGCCTGGCGCAGCCGTCGCCGGCCTGCTCCTCGCCGCGGACCGCGGCCCTCGGCCCGCCCCCTTCCCGCCCGCCCTCCCTCTCCCTCCCTCGCGGGGCCGCTGGCCGGCGTAAGCGGCAACCGCGCTGCCGCCCCGGCTGATCGGCGGGCGCTGGTGCCCTGCCCGCCCCTTCCTTTCCTCCTCCTTCCCCCCACCCCGGCCCCCTCTCCCTCCGGCCGGGCCCCGGAGCGCCGCCGCCGTTGGGGTGTGAGTAGGGCCCGGCGCCTTGCCGGGCCGTCCCCTCGCCGGCGGGGCCATGGCCGCGAGCGCCAAGCGGAAGCAGGAGGAGAAGCACCTGAAGCTGCTGCGGGAGATGAGCAGCCTCCCGCCCAACCGCAAGTGCTTCGACTGCGACCAGCGCGGCCCCACCTACACCGACATGACGGTGGGCAGTTTCGTGTGCACCTCCTGCTCCGGCATCCTGTGAGTGTGGGCAGGGGGACCTTCGGCTCCATCCCCCAAGCCGGCCAGGGTGGGGGAGGACAGCCCTTGCGCCGGCGGGGTGACCTCCGCCCCTGGCCGGCCTCCGGGCTCTGCTGGGGCGGCGGCGCAGCGAGCCGCTACGTGGGGTGTAGCGCCTCGCCTTTGGCTTCGCTGCGGCGGCCGTTTCCCTCTTGGGTTCGCCCTTCCTCCCTGCCGCCCGACAGCACTGGACTGGTGGTTCAGCCGCGTCGGAGGAGAGCAGTCGGGAGGCTTTCCCCAGGGTATTCGCTTAAAAATCTCCACCGGAGCCCCAGTCCGGGAGATGGCGGTTGTTAGCCGGGTGTATGAGTTCGGGGCCGGGCAGCACGGCAGCCTTCGTGGCCGGCGGGCAGCAGCAGTCCGGAGTTTAGCCTATCGCTGCTCTCGAGGAGGTGTTTTCCTGCACGTAGGGAGTGTAAGCGCGTGCCCACGGCACGCAAGTGAAGGGGAGACCGTGTCCGTCCTCTCTCCTTCCCGCCCCCCTCCCCCCCCATCCCAAGGTATCATTAAAGATGTAGTTAATAAAGTATGTGTGAGGAGAATACTTTTGGAAAGAGAAGGGGGCACGTGGTTAACAGTTCCATTTCATGACAGTCTTGAAGACATAGGGAGAGTAATCCTATTGTGAATACCTAGTGTAACGTTTTAAAAATTAATTAACCTAACGTTTAACTTTAAAGTATAATATTAAGTTAAACCGCTAGCCTAGCCTTTTACAGATCAAATTATGCCCGATAGTAGTTTGTAGGACAACTCACTAAACTCTACCTTGGAAGATAAACTCTTGCTTTAATAGTTTCATATACTTGATCAGAAAAGTAGTAGAAGGCTTTGCTCTTGCCTCTGTTACTTCCTAAAAACTATAAAAGTAAACCTTGGAAAGGGATTAGCTCTGATAAAGTGGACTGCATTTTTCCTGTTCCTCATTCCTTTATGGGCCTCCCCACTCCTCCTTCCTTTTCCACCCTTCCTCCTCTGACATAGCATGTATGAAACCAAGAGCTGAGATCAGTCAGTTCTGAATTTCTGTAATGCATAACATGGGGGAAGAGAAAACCTCTACTATCTTCAGTGTTACTGTTTCCATAGTTAAATCTGTTTGCTAGTTTATGTTACTGTGACATTGTGCTTATGAAATTGAGCAGAATCAAAGAGTGGTGTAAGTAATAAATAGGATGTCAAAGGATACAGATTTGTATTTGACTTAAGAAAAGGCATTCAGGAGCCTAAATAAGTTTCTGTCCCCTTACTGAGAGGGACTGACTACCCCACATAGGTCTTCCAAGTAAAAGGTCTGGTGTTTTAGAACAAAGTTGGTAATTATATTGAGATTCAGGACAAAGCAAACATGTTAGTTCTCTGCTGAATTTACATGGAACAAACTGCCTTTTATACTACTAGACAGCTAATTAGTCTTGGGGTATTTTTCCTTCTGTTTTTTTGTAGACTTTTGGACAGGCTTGACGCAAATACCGAAAACGTATTCAGGTTGTGATATTGAAAAGAGACTCTAGTTTTTGACATATACATGCTACTTAACCAGCTCTGGCTATTGTTTGCTCTGTTAGCAAACTGTTATTTGTGCTGGCATGTGAAACTATTTTAAGCTACTGCACAGAGCTTATTTAATGGTTGCACATGTTCTTACCAGTTAAACTGACAGCATAATAAAACTGCTCCGTAAGATTTTTTTTTTCTTTATTTTTCAGGCTTTTTGACATTAGTAGAGAGATATGTGATGAGTACTGCTGAGATATTTTGCATGCTTTTAGTAGGACTTGTTCCTTTTATCTCGGCTGTGTTGGTATGGACTACTGAAGTCCATAGTCCATAGTAACCAAAAGGATATGCATGCAGTGAAACAGCTAGCAAGCAGAGGACAGCTGTCACGTGCTGTTAAGTTTGCCATTATTTGGATGCTACCATACTTAAAGGAAGAAAGACTCCTTATGAAGAAAAGTTGTTAATGTATTGGTATTATAATAAAATGCAAATAACTCATTCTGAATATGCAGTGGTTTTGTGTGTTGCTATGAAAAAGAAACCACAAACAACATTTTTAGTTGATACAGCTAGTAACACCTATGCTTACAGCTGGAGTAAAGGATTGTCAAGAGGACTTAAAGCATTCTTCTGAAATAAAATTAGGCTAATTCTTTCATGTTGACTTGGAAATGCTTTCATAAATTGTGTGCATGATTACATGTGATCCTTTAACACCTTAGAACCTAGCCAGTGGGATATTTTTGTTAGGGATGAGACTAGTTGTAGAGCTATGCCATGCCTGTTTCATAACTAGAAACTGTTATTTTTAACACTTCTATCGGAGAAGTCCTTTGTACAACTTATTTATTTCCAAATTCTCTTCACTGTAGAAGTCCACAGTGGAGAGAAATGACTTGGGAAGAAACCACATAATGGCAAATTGTAAAAAAAAAAACAAGCAAACATAAAAGTACAATTTCTTCTGTAGTTCTTAATGGCTGCTTGCATTCTGCCTCATAATACTTGCTTTACTGTAAGGCTTTAATAATCTTATTACTCAGTCTTGTTTGTATGCTATGTGAATGACTTGCATTGCTTCTTGTTTTAATTATTTTTTTCTGATCTAGTACAAGAAGTATTCTTAGAGTTGAGTCCAGTAGACTTTTTAATTTTATTTTTTTTTAAGTATGAAGTGCTCAATGAAAAGTTAAAATACTGGTACATTAACAAGTCTCCTTCAGAAAGGTTTCTTAATTGATTAAAAGTGGTTGCTAACATTGGTATCATCTTAGGCATGTTGTTCTCCATGAGCTAACTCCAAACTTTTTAAATCTAAAGTATAGCTTTTTTTTTCCTTTTCCCCCTAAGTTTTCTGAAGTGTTTCTTCACTGTCTTGCAAGGACAGTCTATTCAAACTCCAAACCTTCATTTTGGATCCATCCTTAGTTTCCATCAAGGATTCTGTGTGTAGAAAGAGAGCAATGCTATTTCTTACCAGATTTTGCTTTAAAAAAAAAAACAATTTTTCTTCACTATTTAAAAAAAAAAGTCTGGCTTGTTCCAAGTACTGCTAAAAATGATGAGAGAAATGGTGACTTTGCTGAAAAGATCTGTTTCTGACAGATGTTGAACGTGAGTCTTGTCAAGTTAAAAGTATGAGTAACACAGAGCAGGTCCTTTTCTGTAATACTTCGGGTTTAAGTTTTCTCATCAGATTGGGTTTACCAGAGCAGAAGTTTTCCTGTGCAAAATTGTATATGCAGGAGAAAGTTCATGGACAGTGATATTCATAGTGGCTTCCTCTCAAAATACCTCTGCTTGTCTGCTGTTTAAATTCTCTTCCGGGGGGGGGGAGTGGGAAGCAAGCACGCTAGCATTACAGAAGCTGCGCCTCATTAAACTTTTTGGTGTTTGGCAAGAATATAGGATGTGTAGAAATGTATGCATGAACATTTCTTCCCTGAGAGTAGGAGGAAATGCTCTAGAGGAGCAGTCTTCTTGGCTTAAGGATTACGGTAATACAAAACCACAAGACTTCTCTTTGTTACAGCAAAACCACTGTAATGTTGGCAGAGGGGTTCTATTGGTTTGACAGAAGTCCTTTGGTTCAAAGGATTATGTTGGTAGCTGTGTCTGTTGTGTTTCTGGGTACTACCATGTGTCCTGCTGACAGTGGCAGCCTTCCTTTTGTCTTATCAAATGCCTCTTTGCCTTGCTTCTCAGCTGTCTCTGCATATCTGTGCTTTTAAGCACTTCTGTACTGCTCAGCCTGCTCCTAACTTTCATGAAAAGAACATGTTCTTAAATTCTCAAATGGAAAATATTCCTGTTTGAGTAGGTGTACACTTCCACAAGTTCTGTACTGTAGAAATGTTTTATTTAACCTTGATTTTTTTTTTTATTTTTTTTTTTTAATATATATCTCCTAATGTGTTTATTGGGACACTCCTAGCTTTTGCTTCCTCCCAACTTACTGAGGAAGTCTCTTGTTCAGATGTTTGCACTTTGGGCTTGTGTCAGGAAGGAGCAACAAAGAATGTTTAGAGTGTTATGGTTACTGTGGGGGATGTTGAAGCTCTTTAATGCTATTTCTTACAATTATTGGATCATGTGGTCTTTTAGCTGCTTATAATATTCCTAGCTGAAATTTTAATTCTGGGATAGGAGTATTTGATGGCAGATACTAGAAACAAAGTAATACCCCCCCCCAAAAAAAAAAAAAAGAAAAAAGTATGTGCAATGATGGTGATTTATTGTCCCTTTTCCCAAAAGAAGTTTTGCAAAAATTAAAATGCTTTAAATAAACTGTTAGAGTGAAGGTGACTCTGGTTATGTTGGTATGACTTTCTAGTTCTACACACACACATATATATGTATTTTGGAGCATGTTTGGAAAATGGCTCTGTGTATTTTACATGTGCATATATATATATTAAGGGTATTTCCAATGTTACTGTGTTTCTTAGTTTCATGGCCGGAGAGCAAAGGGATTGTCTATACCACTGTGAATACCTCACAGTTCAGAAAGGATGTTGTTTTTTTTTGTGGTGTCTTTCTTTGTTGTTGTTGTTTTTTGTTGGTTTTTTTTTTTTTTTAAGAATAAGGTTAATCTAACCTTGACTATGCTTCTAAATGTGTGTGTGAGCCTTTTGCTGTTAAAAATAAATGAGCTTGTGAGATGGTGGGAGGGTCTCCAGAGAGGTCTACAGCTATAAGGAGTGGCCAGTACTGCTTATATTCTCTTTGCTGATAGCAGTAGCATAGAAATAATAACAGATGCTGTAACATGGGTATTGTAAAGCTTTTTTTTCCAGACGCCTTGGGACACAGGGTGCTCTGATGCTTTGGCAATTGAATTTGAATCAGTAACTTCCTGCTTCTTAGGGAATTGGATTTTACTGGCTTAGATTTAAGATCATGTTAGAATGTGATACAGGGGTACATGAGAGGTGTTGTGTAGCTGTCGGCCCACTGTTTCTCCTTGGAAGTGACCCTCTGTTCCAGCAGAGCCCAATCTTTAAGTTTTTTTTCCCCTCCCAGCCCTGGCCTTTGCAGACAGATTTGATGACATCTGGAATGGCCACTCTGCCAACAATTACAAGTTCAACCATAATTTGCTACTAAATTATGCTAATAACAAATGTTCAGTGCTCATTGACAGCATTTTAAATGTTTAATGCTTCAATTGCCGGACTTCAGAATCTTGTATCAGTGGTCTAAAGCTTCCTTTGTTTGTGAGAGCACCAGTTTTAACAATGCTCTCTGAGGAACAGAGAACTCGTGTTCTCTGTAGCTGCCCCTATGATAGGCTGTGTCAGTGGAAGCCTGGACTAAATGCAGGAGCAGTGGAGTATAATCTCATAGCAGGAAGTTCTGGTCACAGTGCTATTCCACAGAAATAGCCACTGAGCATGTAGAAAGTGGCAGTGATGAGTGGGATCTACATGTGGAATATTCTGGCTATGGTGTACTGGATGAGTGCAGATGACGGAATAGTCTTACTCTGTCATCTTCCCTGAGGGTCTCTTAGGAGGTAACTGTGACCTGGATCAAGTGCTGAGGGAGTGTTTGGTTGCTGTCATCTTCAGGAACTCTGTGCTAGAGAAAGGAGTAAATGGTACTGCTTCATGGGTGCAGGTTGCAAATATTTGTTCCGGGTCAGTTTAAACTTGGGTATTATTAATTTGGACTAAGGGACTATAATCCATTTTATCTTCTGGTAAATATGGAAAATTGTAAAGCATTACAACTATGCAAAGGTCTTGTCAAATCATAGAATAGTTAGGGTTGGAAAGGATCTTAAGATCATCTAGTTTCAACACCCCTCCCACTAGACCAGGTTGCTCAAAGCCCTGTCCAACCTGGCCTTGAACACTGCCAGGGATGGAGCATCCACATCTTCCTTGAGCAACCTGTTCCAGTGCCTCACCACACTCACAGTAAGGTATTTCTTCCTTATATCTAACCTAAATCTTCTCTGTTTAAGTTTGAAAATACATGTGAGGAAACAAACCACGTGGTAGATGCTGCTTTGCTTTCTTGAGGTTTATGTTTTTTGTTTTTTTTTTTCTTTTTAATACAAAAAGAAAGGCTTGTGAATTCCTCAGAAGGGATAATCATACTTGGCTGTCTACCAGTAAGCTTCCCCCATATGTAGATGACTTGTTTGTGAATCATTTGGGTCATCAAGTAATCTTTGTAGGTAAGGAAGCATATAAAATATCTTAGGTTTTTCAAGTAAGAGTACCTTTGGTACCTTGGCTTAGTTCTTGAGTTCTGCTTCATAAATCTCACAACTGCTCTGTTTTAGGGACATTCTAGTCAGTTCATGGGTATAATGTTATTGAAAGTGGCTCATCCTAGTTAGAAATAATAAAAGAAGTTGAGGTTTAGCTGTTCTAATGGTAGAATCAAAGTAATTTATCTAAAGAAAATAATACATATGTTGTGGGCTATATTTGTATGCTGAAAAATGCACCCTCTTGTCTTGAATTCTGTGTTCCACTCTGACTGCTTGCACTGCTTTCATAAGAGGAGGCTTTTCACAGGCTTCTTCCCACCCCTTGCCATGTTAAATAAACATGAACACTTGTATGTATAATACTGCAGCTTGCTTGTTAACTTTGCATTTATGGCTATTAAAGTTATGTTCAGGTTTTCCAGTCCTCCTGGACCATGGATGTAGCAACATGGTCTTTTTCATCATGCAAGACACCTAATGCTTCCATGTTGTGATCTGAGCTTTAGGAATGGGAGTGTCTTCCTTTAGCTAGAGGGTATTAAAAAAAAATAAAAATCATCATCTTATTGCACATCATGGTTATAATATGTAAATCAGGAAACTTTATAACCTGAACCTTAAAACTCTAGAGCAGTCCTCACTGGAATGCAAGAGGCATGTAGGAAGTTTCTAGTGAGTCTAAACAAAATCTTGTCCAAGCTTTAAGTACATTTGATATTACTGCTTAACAGAACTGAGTATAAGTGTTTGCTGGTGTAAATGTTTTGAAGAGCTGTAGCAGATCAGCGTAGAGTAGGTACTGCTTAAACTTGTGCAGTGCCTTTCAATTGCAAACACAGGTACAATAATAGCACTTAAACTATACTTATTGAAAAAATCAATTTCTAGCAGAACCTAGCATGAAAGTTTAGATATACTACCTGTGCTGAAAAACATGTGAATGTGTTAATGAATAACCCTAGCTTTTAAAATAGTCATGAAATAGTTTACAACTAATTGTACATCCTCCTTAGTAGGAGGAGAGTAAATTGAACAGGCTAAGGTAGATGGAACCAATTTTATACTTAATCTGAAAGCAAGTGATTGTAATACAGAACTTGATGGAATGTATTTCTGTGAAATACCAAGTGGATGCCAACCACCTGGCTAAAATTTTTCTGTAAGACTCGAGTGTAAAATGTTACTATGTGGGTCATCAGATTTTTGTCATACAGTGTTTTGATTTATCACAATTTAACTTATAGTGTTCTTGAAACAATCATGGAGTTTAAAGAAAACTACTAGTAGTCTTAAATTGGATGCCAGTGGTGGGATGGTTTTTTATTCCTAAAAGCAATGTGAACCAAATTTATAATTAAAGCGTAGTCAAAAATATGAGCAATAAAGCTAACTCTTATCTGATGATTTGTTAGTTGTTTGTTAGGTCCATATTACATTCTGCAAGTTTCCCCCAGCTTCCTTTCTGGAAACTTTCTGTTCATATATATAACCACAGAATTTTGTGTTCTTTGATGTCTCATAGTTAATGTATAGTCTTTTTTTCCTTTTAATTTATCTTCTCTTTTTGTTACAAAAATCCAGGCCTGACTGTTAAACTAGCCCCGTTGTATTGCCTAAGTTAGTGTCTCCATTGTTTGGCGTATGTAGGACGTAATGTTGTTTCCACTGAGCAGAACACGGCTTGATTTTAAGTATTTGTGGGCAAAAGCAGTATTTCGCATGTATTTAAAGAAAGAGTTTGAAAAGAAAGACAGCTTTTTCTTATACTGGCACTGTTGCTCAGCAGGTTTTTTTTCTCTATGCTTGCAGATTTTGACTGAACTGGGTTTGACAATGTCAGGCTTTGGCAGCACAAATTATTTGAGTTTCTGTTAGCCTTGCTTCAGCAGTCTCTGGCATGGGTATGAGAATAGTGCCAATCTTTGCTTAAGGCAGAGCTGCTGAAGTTTTGAGCTATTACATGAGTAATGGTATCTCTCATTTGAGAACACAATAAAAACATTGTTTTTTTTCTTTTGCTGTTGTGACTTGTGCAGTTTCAGGAGGAGGGAGACAGACCTGTGGATGGAAGGCCAAAAGTGAACTAGAAAGAGATGCTGTCAGGGAACAGGAAGTATAGGTTAAAGCAAGAGAAAAAGAACCTGAGCTGGGGAGTTTAGCTTGAAGAAATCTAGTGATTGGGTAGAAGTTGTACTAAGAATAGGCTGAAGTGAGGGAGGAGTTGGAGGGAGAGAAAACTACAACAGAAGGGCAGAAGAATGGGAGGTGGAAGGTAGAAGCAAGGGTGAACAAGTTCTGGGAAACAGATTAGGTTGTAAACAGAAAAGTCTAATTCTGTTTTCTTAAGTCTGCATAGAAAGATCAGAGTGAGTTTGCATCTGCAGTTGTAAACATTGGTCTTCCCTAAAGCTCAATTATTCGACTTTGCATGATGAATGTTATTTTAAGATGATCTTATACAGCCTTGGGTTACATGGCAGTACCAAAATGGGTGCATTTTACAGAGATGGCTCCTGAGTTTCAAACTGACTTTTGGTTGTAATGTTAAAAGTGATCGTATGATGCCAAACTTCCTGAATACTGACTAAATTACTACTTGCTTCTTCTTTTAGACGGGGCTTGAATCCACCCCACAGAGTGAAGTCAATTTCAATGACTACTTTCACACAACAGGAAATAGAGTTTCTGCAGAAACATGGAAATGAAGTAAGTATCATTTGGGGATTAATGTGAAAGCGTGAAAACCACATGATAAACTTTAAAACAGTACTTAAGGAAAATGTCTTTTTTTTTCTTTTTTTTTTTTGTTGTTGTTGTTCATAGCAAAATGTAGCCTGAAGTCTGAAGCCAGCTTCATTTGAAGTGAGGCTGTTTCAGTTGGGTTGCTGATCATCAGTGTTACGTGTTATTGCCCCACTCAGACAATCTAGATTCATATGATCAGTATTTCTGAATTGGGTTTTCTTTTGCTTTTGCTTAAGGCAATATGCATTTTCTTTTTTTCTTCCTGCGAGCCCAGACCTTGAGACTGACTGCAGCAGTGTTTCCTGAAAGAGCACACTGTGACAAAAATACATTTGTTGCTTGTAGCTGTATTTCTTCAGAGTAGGTGTCAGAAAGTCTTCTAGTTGTTTCAGTAGCCTCTTTCTTTAATGAAAGTGTATCAGCATTGAAGGCTCTTGGAGAGGGAGGAACATGAAATTTTATTTTTTCTTTTCTAAGGATTGTTACCTAATAAATGTCTATAGGTTAGGACTGGCTTGGGGCAGCTCTGAAGGAGAAGTTCTAATGTACTACCTTTTTATTCTTTTTTAATAATTTTTTAACAAAATCTGGGAGGTAAATGTGCATTGGCTCTATGGGGATGTGTGGGGCACGTAGACCCTGAATGTGGCTATTGCTGTCTTTAATTTGAGGATGGAGTTTGTGTTTTCATACCTGCTATAGCACTGATGATTTTAGAGTCAGCTTTTGCTGCTGTTCTGAATTAGAAAAAGTTCTATTTCACATTTGCTGTATCTGTATTCTGTTTTAGTAAAACTATTGATTGTAGGCTGCAGAGTGTCTTGTGAACACGTTCTTGTAGAGCTTTGTGGGCATAAATCCCATCATTAGACAAAATGCTGATACTTAACTTTCCTTAAACTTGGCTCATTCGTAACTGTCAGGTTGAAGAATGAAAATAGAAGCAGCTATTTCTTTTTCTGTCCTGGTAAATATGTGTTACTTGTTGAAATGACCGTTAGTGGATGATTCCTCTAGACAGAGCTGGAACAGGGTTTAAACTCTTGTCATTATAAAATACTTATAATAGTTTTGACTAGGGTTTTTTTAAATTGTTTTGGCATGTTTAAGCTGTATAATGTCACGTGTGTGTGTATATATGTGTATGATATTGATGACTTTTTGCAGAGGGAGAATAATAATCTTTTATGGGTATAGATATAGTATGTTGGAGTCTTTTTCCGCAAGATTAGCTTGTGAACTTCAGCTTCACTTAAGGCTTCGCAGGAAAATGTGTGTCTATGTGTGCCTCCCTTCTTTCCTCTCTCCTCCTCCACACCTATTTTAGTTTCTGCAACAGTTAGAGATTGCTACCACTTCCAGTTTTCATTGATCTGGAACTTTAAGTGATCGTACTTGGCTAATTAGTGTAGTTGTCCTTCTCATTATAGATCTGACTAGTCTGCCAATCATGAAGACTTACTTGATCTGAAATTTGTTACTGACATAAAAAACGTTCACTGATCTCTGCAATGCTATATGATGTTTCAAAAGCGGGGGTATTTCTGTTTGTAGTGCTTGTTCCTCTAATTGAAGTATTGCAATGATTTCAGTGAGCTACCTGATAAATGAAAATGCCATCCAGAGTTTAATTTTGGGTTTTTGGATAGCAGTGCATTACCTTAATTCCAAAGTAACATTAAATAGTTATTTGTAGTTGCAGATGGTAGATTTAACAAGTGCTTACGCTGATCAGAAATGATGTTTTAAACACTGTTAGAAGTTTAAAACCCAATTTAAACAAATTTTCACTTTGTCACACTGTGTGTTGCAGTAAACATTTTGATTTCTCTTGTTGGTATTGCAGTTTATCTTATATGCAGGTGAATATTCCAAAGTATTGAGATGAAGTTCATCTGACTTCACAGAAAAAACTCACAAAAAAAAAACAACAAACCTTCTTTGCTTAGCTTGCTATATGCAGCATAGGTGGCTCTTATGTATGTAAAAGGTGAAATTTTCTAGGATAAACTTGTTCAAATGTGGAACTGTCCATCATTTTAGAATATGGACATGTGAAACAAAGTACAGTCAGTGAATGGCTTAGGTGTTGTAACAGTTGGTTTAGTTCTGCAGGTTATATATATAAAGCTCTAGTTTTTGCAATCTAGTATTCTATTTTTCTTTTATTTTTCTGTAGCTTGTAAAATACTTTTTGTCCCACTTTAACCTGCCATTCTTTCTCCAACATGGCCAAGGCCTCTGTGGTAAGCTTTTTGGCTTCCAGATGATTGGTTGACAATAGGGATCTGTTTCTGAATAGAAAGGAAAAGAGCAAGAAAGCTTCCCTGAGATAAAGTAGTGAGTTGTTCTTAGATGTAGTTTTTCCACTCTCCTTCCAAGAGTACTTATAAGGTCAATATATTGTATATAATGGTGAAGGGGTTTTTTTGGCTTTTTTTTTCTTTTTTTTTTAAGAAAAGGGTAGAAATAATCCTAATATCTGAAATAGTAACTTTTCTCTAGTTGTCACAAATTGACACCTTTGTAAAACATTGTTCCTAAAGGCTTCCTCGCAGCCACTGCTTTGGGAAGAGATTATTCAGAGCAGCTGTTCAGGTGTGCACCACTATCTTCTTCCCTGTATATACATCTTCAATGAATGCCTTTCTGGCATACATAACATGAACTTTTTTTTGATGTTTTTAACTGCTTCAAATACAGATTTAAGGATTTTTACTGTGTGAGAATACATCTATGTTTTAGTGTTGCTTGCTCATCTGCTGTTGTAAAACATGTCTGAATTCTGGTTTTGCTAGTGTTTGGATTAGCTCACTTTTGCAGCAAGAGTGGAGACAGCTTCGAGCTGATATTACTCAAGTGCCTTCTGAAGCCTTTTTGAAGGATAAAGCAATTCTGGCTTTCTGGGTAGGATTTTTCTCCTTCTCCTCCTCTTCATGAAGAACAGTGTGATGTATTTTCACACTGTATTCTCATGTTAAGAATAATGAGAGAGTGGTATGGGGATGAATCTGTTTGAATACTCATAATCAAATGATAATGTTGCTTAGCCATCTGATTCAGTAGAGCAATGGTAGTAGAAAGTGAACTCGCTGTTAGCAGAAAGTGGAGGTGGTACTAATCTCATGTTGCCAATAGAGCTGTTAATGAATATTCAGACACTTTCCCCTGAAGCTGAAAAATAGTATTATGAGGCAAATCAGTTACATAATTAATTTTTCTACTACATTTTTCAGAAGTGCCAGGTATTTTCTAACATCTCCAAATAGCCTAATCTGGTATGTATATGGTGGAAGAAAATTATTTAGATAGTATTGGTCTTGTATTTGGAAAGTCTGTGTATCTTTGGGAGGAAAGGCCATGTATATTTACCTGAGGTATTAAGCAGAGCACTATGCAGGTATGCTCAGCTGCTTGGAACTAGTTTAACAGTGCTGAATTTTGTTTTGGTGCAGGTCTTCCTAACTCTTGATAGCACCTGGGCAAGTGCCAGTTTCCCACACTTTTGCAGAACTCGTAGCAGTATGAGGCTGGTTCAGAGCTGGTGTCTGGCCTTAGCAAAATGCCTTGCTAGAGTCAACTTTACTGTGGTATATGGCCTAGAAACCCTGAATTGGAAAGAGCAGGACTGAGTTGGAGCTGATGAGTCCTGACAGCATGAGCTGTGCAGTCAGGTGTCCTTGTAGTACATCCCTGGTTCTGCTAATACGATATAGAGGTACAAGAGCCGATTGTGTATAGAACAATGTCTTTGTTAGCAGGATTTATTACCTTGCAGTACGTGCTTATGAAAGCAGCTGTAACTTCTGGACCCAGACTGACTTTGAAATCGGTATACTGGCAGTATAAAATTCTTTCAGCCTACAGAGATTACTGAATAATATTCGTATCAGAAGTGCTGAATTACTAAACAAAGCTATAATGTGCTTACATAAGGGAACTGTTTCCAAATATTTCTTCCTGTGGTGAGTGTTATGTTTTGGAACATAGCTTTCTTGTGTGGTAATCTGTAATTCTTTGCACTGACAGCTTTATGTATGGTGCATAATGGAGGATATTTTATTGGGTGGGGAGGGGGGAAGGAAAAAATCTAATTTGGCATTTACCAGCCTCATGAAATGTAATATCTCATTAGAGCTTTTAAAACTAGACTGACATGTGTAATCTTCCTGCAATGGTATGTCTGAATCTAAACAAGAAGTGCTGTAGGTCTGACGGTGTGCTTTGTCTAGTTGAAATGCAGCTTCTACCAGCAGCAGTACTTGTCCTGTCATAGCTTTTCCTTGCCATGCTGCCTTAACTGCACATAAGAGAAGGCAGCTTCATGAGCACAAACTTATTTTTGCTGGCCGAACTGAATTCCTATTACTCCTAACGAGCACAACTATGCTAAGAGAAGTTTCTAAAGTGTGGTGGCTCAATGTGTTGTGCAGGCAGAAAGTCTTTGTTGCTCCCTTATCTGCCTTCCCACACACACTGGAGGATGTGTATCAGTGACATAGTTATGACAAAGTGGTTATGGTAGTGTGGATTGTTTGAAATATGTAGCACTGGAATAGAAATAACTGAAATCTCAGATTATCTCAGCCTTTCTCCAAAATTTGATGGATACTGCTGTTTTGAGGGTTTGCTTTGTTGGTTTTTTTTTTTGGTTTTGTTTCGTTTTTTTTTCTTTTGTAGCAGCTTTTTAATGTGCCTGTCCTTCCCCACCTTCCCAGCTCTGTAAAAACACACAACCCCCTCACCCCAAAACATGACAACAAAACTAGGAGCAAAACCAAAAGCAAAATTCTTGTGGAAACAGGTATGTTTATGTTCCTCTTAGCCCTTGAGCCCTGCTTGGAACTCCTGAAAGCATGAAATGTTACTAGGAGGCTGGGTTTTAAACCAGAAGCCTTTCTGGTTTAACTTAATCTTGCAGAGTACTGGATGTGCATTGAATGGGATGACTTCTTTATTCCTTTCTGTCAAAGCTAGAAAGTAGTGTAGAAAACAACTTCTCTCAAATAGAATAGCTGTTGAGTGCAGATGCGGGGAACCCAAAGGTATGAAGAGAAATATAAAGACTTCATTATAACATACGACATGTGCTTGGCCCAGTTTTTCCTTTCAGTGATATAGTTAAGTTATGGCAACTCGCAGTTTTTGCTTTGCTTCCTCCTGGGTTTTTATCCAGGTCAGGGTGAGTAGGTTGAAGCTGGTTGTGATTCTCTTTCCCTCTTTGCTTCATGCTGTACTTACTGATCTAATTCTGAACTTCCTGGTATGTAGTTGCCAAATATCTAATGACATCCCTTGCAGCATTAGAGATTGTTGGCAGAGAACAGGTACTGTTCTTCCCAAACCAGTTGTAAAAGTATTCTCATGAACTTTTAAATTTAATGAAGATAACTACCAAGTCTTGTTTTCTACTTCTTATTACCTGTCAAGATAACGCTTTACTTTGTTTTGTTACTACTTTGTGTAGTAGAGGCAAGCAAAACTTCAGTCTTGCTTCTGTCAACCCTTCAACACAAGTAGACTTTCAAATGCTGCATACACTTAATTATTACAACTTCAATGCTGCCTTTTTTTTTCTTTTTCCTTGCTGCATTGGTGAACCAGTGGGACATGGACTAATTATACTTTTCAGGGACAGTGGACAATGGTTATGGATTGTTGGATATGTTCCACTGTTTCTAGGGGTTTCCACATAACTTGAATGTTTACTCTTGGCTTCAGCTTGTCAGGCTCTTCTCCTCCAAGCAGAGCATTCTGTTTAATAAAGCTTTGATTATCAAAAGGAGGAGCATAGCAAGACTCTTGGTGAATAACAAAGCTTTTGAGCGGAGGCTTACTTTTGCTGCTGTTGCAAAAAGAATAATATTGGTATTAAACAGCTGAACTGGAATATGATATCACCAGAAACGGTGTGATGTAGAAGGATTTTGGAAAGCCATAGAATTTTTGGGCACAGTAACTTAACAGTAATGTTGTATAACTTTGTGGTGAGTTGAGATGCTTCTTCACGTGTTACCTGTAAAAGCAAAGGAATAAGTAATTCTGTCAAAATGGAGTTTAAGATGCATCGTGAAACTTGGGCAGTAGCCCATATTGAAATAGAGAAATGTTTTGAAATGTGCTCTTTGGGATAGCAATTCAAATTTCTCAAAACATATTGTTCTGAATTTTTCCTTGAAAATTGCTTCCTTGGCTGTTTGGTGGTGTTTTGTTTTTTTTGTTTGTTTGTGTGTTTGTTTTGTGTGTGGTGTTTTTTCCTTCTCTCGAATAGTAAGTTTGTATCGAAACAGAAGAGAACTTTGACCATGAAGAATGGTAATTTAAAGCTCAGATTTGTGCAGATTTGTATATCCTTTACTGCCTTTTTGCACCTTTTTTCCCCATGTCCTGCAAGAAGTGACTGAGCTAGAGTCAGCACATGCTGCGAATAACTCTGCTAATTTGTTCAGGTGTCATGTCTAGCCAGCTGTCAGGCAAGACAGAACATAGAACTGAAGTTCAAACCATTCTAATTGTAACAAAAAAAAAACCGAACCCCAAATAACAAAAAAATAAAACAACCCAAAACCAAAACAGCAAAAACCCTACCAACCAACCACATTGTGGAAATGTAGAAAAATCAATCTTTCTAGTATCTCAAGCACTTTCAAATTCAGATAGTGGATGTAAAAGCTGTGATTAGTGAGGAGTAATCAGGGTACCCAAGATGTAAATGCTGAATGATCATTCCCCACCATAACTCAACAGCAAGTTATATGGCATAAATATCCTTGATCTTTATAATAAGAGTAACTTTTAAATAGCTTAGAAATAAAAATGACAATGGCCTCATCAGTAAAAAATACATTTTTCACAGCAGCCTTTTCCTTGCCCACGACACAGTACTGTTAGCAACTTTTAAGATTAAACTAAAGGTAACTATTTAAAAAAAAAACTTATGGCGATGCAAGTTCTGACAATAATATTTCTTAGTTTAATTTCCAGTTTTAATTTCATCCTGTGGTAGTGCACATCACACTGCCGTTTACTTTTTTGTAGGTAGCTGAAAATTGTGTGTTATGACTCACTTGAAGCATAATCAGTGAAGTATTGTGGATCCCTGTCAAGTCAGATGATGGTAACAAAAGTAGAGCATACAGGTCACCAGCAAATAAGGAAAGACAAGGGGCCTTTTATTGTGTTCTGAATGCTTGCTTGGAATGGTTGCTGATGTTCAAAGCATTGTGTGGTTCATCACACAGAAATAGACAAAACTGCCTTTTTAGTAGTTTCTTGTGTGATTCTAAAACTTCATAAAATTCGTCTTTCTAAAAGAACTTGTCTGTATTTAAGACTTCTGAGAAACTACTTTCTTGAAGAACTCTTGAGGTAAAGAAACTTATGTGAAATTTAATTTGCATTTCTGGTGTGGTAAATATTTTAACTTGTATTTGCATAGTTACTGCTGTCAAACTCTGTTAAATTGTCAACTTCTTGATCAAGAGTGTGTTACTAAGCCTAGGTTCTTTTGCTTGTTAGTTGTGTATTGTGTGTTGGCCATTAGTAGTAATGTTCTTTCTGCTACAAGTAACAGAGAATCAGTAACGAGTGCCTGACAGGTTTAATTAAATAAATTATAATAGTAACTTAAGGCATATTTCAGTTGGTGCTGCTTTTGTGTTTAGAAGAAATCTGTTGTTCCAGGAAACGCTTTTGGAAGCATGCTTTCTGAAGGTTGGCAAAAATTGCAGTGCAATGCAGCCTTTATTAAGCTTGCTTCATTTTAAACCAACAGTGTGTCTGGGACAGCATAGTCCTCCTTCATATCTGTTTGCATATTCACAGAACTGTTATCTGCTATAGCTGGTAATGATCTCAATTCACACAGGGCCTTGTCTCATTTCTCCTCGAAATGGTCTCTAGTGGTCAGGAAGGCTTGAGACTGTTTGACATGGAGATGTGTTTGTTGTGGTTTTTTTTTGACTGTGGTTCCACTCTGAATACTTAGGCCCTCCAGGGCGAAGATGAAGCAGAAAACTGGGAGAGGGAAAAAGGTGAAAAGCATTTCATTTCGCCTGTTACCATACTGCAAATAATGATTTTAAATTTGCTAACTCAAATCAGTCTATTGAAGTTAAACCTTTTATGGAGTACAGTTGCTGAATGAATGTTAAATAGCTGAGCTTATTTGAAGTAGGAACTACTGATCTTATTTTTAAATGAGTGTCTAATTCACAAATTTAGGGCTATCATTTGGTCATTAGTTAGGTCTGCTTCCCATTGTTATCTCTATCCAGTAGACGACAATAAGGACTGTGTAGTGTTGGAAATGCAGGCGTTCAAGACATCAGGTATGAAATATCTACTTAGGCTGTCTAAATCTTTCTAATCCTGAGCAATCTTTGAACCTGACCTATAAGTTTTGTCATGTCTGACAGCTACTGCTCTAGAAGATGCTAATTTGCTGCAATTTTGGTGAAGTTAGCTAGCTTGGTAAAGAAGAAGACAACTGGGGAAGATGTAGTGGCAGTATCACAGCTTCTGCCTTGATTTGCTAACTTCCAGGGCTGTCAGCTTTTGCAGCTCTTGCTTGTTAGAGAATGCCTCATCTGAAGGTCATGAGGGACCATGCTGAAAACCTGACACTGTTGCAGCAATAGAGGGCAATGTTTGTAGGAAGCATGTGGAGAGGAATGATGAGGACTGTTTCAGAAAGGGTGTGGGAAGAAGGGGTATGCATCATAAAAGCAAAGTTTTCTTGACTCAGCTTCTCTGAAAGAAACCTGTTCTAAAACAGTAGTCTTATTTTAGAGGGTAGCTGATGTTTGCTGTATCATTTGGGTGCATACTCAGGTAACTTTCAGAGTAGTCTTAAGTGCTTAAAGAAAACATTTGAAATGCGACAATTCCCGTGTCTTAATTTTGAGAAGTCACCTTTCCTCTTGTTTTGCTCAAGAATTGAAGCTGAGCAGACTGAGAATTTTGCAACTGGCTCAGCTTTTGCTTACTTACAACTACGTTTAGAAAATTAAAGCAGAGCAAAAGTACTTTCCCTTTCTGTCAGCCTTAGTAAATTAAATGCAGTTTCTATGGTATAGTATACATCATGGTAAGAAAGGCTGCTTTAAAAACAATGTTCCTATACTCAAATAGTAATAAGTATAAATACTGATCCTTTGGGAGCTACTATATGGGGCTTAGGGCATATGGAATCTGTTGAAATAGTTTAAATCCTGGAGTACAGGTAAGGGAATGTATAGCATTAGGTGAAGGAGAAGAGTCTTAAATATCATAAGCAGAAATCGAGTGCTTTGCCCCTTCATGAATGCCTGATACAAATATTTTGTAAAAGCAGTATTTGGGGGTGAAATTTTATGCTAGGAGTTGCTTGCCTGGCTGTGACAGATGGTCTTTCAACTTTAAGTATTTAGACCAGTACATGGTGCACCACTTGGTTGTTAAAGCAGCTCAGTCTGTAACAAAAAATATGCAGCCGTGCAGTTTTTAATGATGTATTAACAATGGTAAACCTAAATAGGCTTTAATTTATTTTTCTTTGATTAATCTGTGGTTGTGTTATTTTCTTGTTGTTTGTTTTTATAAGGTGTGCAAACAGATTTGGCTAGGCCTATTCGATGATAGATCATCAGCAATTCCAGACTTCAGGGATCCACAGAAAGTAAAGGAATTTCTACAGGAAAAATATGAAAAGAAAAGATGGTAAGATAGATTTACAATTATAAATGTTGCCTGTATAGCAAGAAGTGAAGGTGGACAGTTATCCTTGTATTTTTGAGTGTGCTTTCCTTCTTGTGTGCTCTTTGCATAGCTGTCTAAAGTAAAATGATTTCTGGACTTTATTCAGAGCTTCTACAGTAAGCAGAAAAAAGTACAGCAGTTTCTTGGTGTGTAGCATGTGTTGGCGGTACAGAAATGGCTTAAGGGGATGTGAACAACAGGGTAAAGTAAAGAATTTTGCAGGCTTTTATTAGGGGTGGAAGACACCTGGCTTGTATTAAATAAGTGCTACAAAATATTGATGACTTGGAATTCTAGTCCATTTTAAAAAGATCTGGCATAATTAAATAATGGGTATTTTGTAGGCTACTGCTAATACTTGTTTTGGAGTCAGTGGTTAATATAGCAGAGCTTAGATATACCAGTTCCCATGCTTTAGTCTTATCAGTGTTAAGCAGAACTTTTCATGTTAAACTTGTAAAAACCATTGCTCTTTTTGAATGTAGGTATGTTCCTCCAGAGCAAGCAAAGGTGGTGGCATCAGTGCATGCATCCATATCGGGGTCTTCTGCTAGTAGTACAAGCAGCACACCTGAGGTGAAGCCACTCAAATCTCTCTTGGGAGAAGCTGCACCTGCACTGCACTTAAACAAGGGCACACCTAGCCAAGTGAGTAATGGCAGCTGAAAAGCACAGAACTGTTAAGCAGTCCTTTTTCTCTTTTAGTGGCAGAATTCTCGCAATTGTAACTGTTACCTAATGATATGATGACTAAAGACAGCTTTATGCATTCTGTTGAACTGTTTGCAGATCAGGTTCTAAATTAAGCTTGTTTCTATTGGCCAAATTGATTTATTTTTTTTAAGAATGGCTATTTGCAGAAAGCATAATTTTCTAGTGTGATTGACAAGTTTAATTATCGTAGACTTTTACTTAAATATCTCTGAAGTTTGAAGCTAATGTGATATATTTTCATATTTGTTTTTTTTTAATTTGAAAACAGTAGAATGCCTGATACTCTTAACCATGAGATTAGTAGTGAATATGTGGGTGAAAAGTGTGATGTTTGTCATTATTTCCTGTGCATTTTGTAACTGTGTTGAGTGGCTTTGGGGGAGTGTCTGTATGTTGTTATGTAAAGCCAAGCAACATAGTGTTTGGCTTTACATATGTTTTGGAGGGAAAACAGTTTTGCTTGAAAATCTCTTTTACCTTTAGGGTAACAGACAATTCTTGAATGGACCTCTTTAGAAATCAGCAGCTTGCAGCCTTGCTATGAAGTCCTTCATTTTTCTCTCCCTACACTGAATTCTAAGGATTTTTTTCAGAATGCAGTGAATAACTATATTCCCTTGTAAAATTAAGTTTTATTGCTTGTATTTGTGCAGTATTTGCAGTTTCAAATACATAATTTTGAAGCTGCTTGTATGCTGCTACTTTATTCTTCTAGGCCCTATTAATCCATGGGAATCTGCTGCAAAGTTCCTTTAAAAGCTACTGTAGAAGCATAAATAGATTGTCTCCCTTATATTGTGGGAGGAGGATCTGTGCGGTACACAGCATCTTAAACTTCAGGAATAAATGGCTTGTTAAAGGAATATGCTTACTCCATCCTTCTAGTATTTTGCAAAAATCAGTATGGTAAAATATCAGCTTTTTTGTATTAGCTAATCAAAAACTTGTTTGTAGTCTCCTGTTGTAGCTCGATCTCAAGGACAGCAGCAACAAGAAAAGAAACAATTTGACCTCCTCAGTGACCTTGGCTCGGATATCTTTGCTGCTGCTGCTCCCCAGTCAACTGCTACAGCAAATTTTGCTAATTTTGCACACTTCAACAGTCATACAGGTAAGAATTCTGAGCAGTGCATCCCTTTTAAATGTATAAAATGTAGTTTTAATTTTTGATTAGTTCAGTCTAAAATTCCTGAGGTGTATAATTTCTGTGCTTTGCGAATGTTGTATTGCACAAGATTTTCCTTTAGATCTTTATAGACAGGTTGAAGATTTAAAGGCTGATAATCCTGTTTTGTTAAGTGGGAGTTGCTGAAGCTGTTTTCTATATGTACAATTGCACTGTTTCTGCCTACTACTAGAACTTAAGATTCTTTGTGGGAGAGAGAGTGAGAGATGAGTAACAGAATGTAGGGAGAAGCTGGTATTAGATCTCCAATTTTGTTTCTGAAAATTATTAGTAAAAGTATTCATGGAAAGACTGCTGATACAGAGGCTTTAAAGGGAGTTCACATTGACAATTTCTTAAAAGCAAAACAAAGGCTTTCCTCAGTTTAAAGGATAACCTCCTCTTTTGTTTGTGTCTATTTGAAAACCAAATACTACCCATCTGGGTAGCATTCTGCAGTTTCAAGAAGAATAAACAAGTTTTGGGCACATGTATTGACTGAGAATGGGAGTAGTCCTTGTATTCTTAAAGAATGACTTCAGTAAAATATATTGAGCCCTCAGGCTTTATTTTTAGCCAAAGATCTTGAGCCATAGAAGTCTGTCCTAAAGAAAAAGTTGATTCTGCGGTCACTGAAGTATGTTGTTGCTAACTTGCATTGTAATTGTGGGAAAGTAACTTTGCCTGCATTGCCTGAATGAGCTTTTCTTCTGAGAGAAACCGATGCTGCTGAGCCAACAAGAGTGGGAGATATTTCTTGTAAATCAATCCTGAAATTATTAACAGTTGAGATGAGTTGTAATGGAGGGGTCTTAAGGCACACCTGAAGAACTGAGCAAAGTATCAAGGATTTCTCAAAGTTACCTTTTAAAAAAGTGGAATAACTGGCTGAATTCAGTATACAGGATAAGAATTGCAACTGCAGTGTAATTTGTAAAATCCTTAAAATTAGTATTTCATGTTAATCATCTTTTTGGAGGTATGTTTAACTGGGACAACTTTCAGTGACTGGCTAGTGTTACTAAAGAGGCTGCAGATACTTAGTTTTTTCTAATGACTTTTTCTTTCCAAACTAATTGCTCAATGATTTTTATATTTATATACACTTAATTACTTTTTGTGGGTTTCAGGAGATGAAAATTCCATTAAAACAGTATTTCAGTACTTTGTTCCAAATCTACCTGGGTAATTTTTAAAGAGATTAAAAGCAATATAAACGCTTCTGTATAATCTTATGACAGATGATGTTAATTTCAATTTGAAATAAGTGATGAACAATCAAAATTGAGAGGAATACTCAACTTTACTGACTAGTTTTCTGTTTCAGTAATTAACCATTTTGCTCATTCCCATGACTCTCTTCCATAAGTTTTAGAACCCAAACCAGTTTTAGGGCTGGTAAATCAATTTCTGAAAGACAGTAATCTAATTCTGAGCATGCGTTAATGGAATGTGTACTGCAGTTTATCCTAGGGTGTTTTCTGATTTGCTGGGGTAAAACATTTGTGAGGGTTGTTCTGTGTGTGCTACCACGCGGTAATGTCAACTGAAACTAATAATGAAATGTTACAGACTCTTCTCTTTGGAACAGAAGGAGGGTTGATCAGTCTGCCAGCTTTGGCAAAAATGGGTTTTAAAGGCTCATTTAAGGAGCTTATAAGCATGTAATTTTTGTTAGTAATCACATGCTACATCAGAGAATGAAAGAACTTGCACTTAGCCTGGCACGGCTTTCTTGTTTTATGGCTCCGTGTTCTTGTTTTAGGGCTTGTTGACAGGGAATGGACTTCTGTCTTTCCCTTCATGTACACTATGGAGTAACTAAAAAAATCATTAAAGAGCACCAGCAAATTTAAGGTCTTCCTGTAAAAGTTACTGTTTCTGCAATTAAGACATATGTTCCTTTTTTTTTTTTCTGCCTGTTTCCCTGCCCCACCTCAGACTTTTCTAATGTACTGAGCTGTCTCAGGACACTGTTCCATGTTGAAATGAAAACCTGCTGACCTTCTCTTTACTGTCTGTATTTAATTAATGAGGTTTCATAACTACTGCAAAATTATGAGATTTTGAAGATGATGGTAGATAATTGTTCTCTATGATAAAAATTGTTATAAAAATGTGATAAAAACAAGATAAAAATTTTTGGCATGTAAACTTTCTATAAGCTAATGGAATATTTGCACGAAAGATTTAAGAGGCATAGTGACACAACATAACTCTATCATTGGTATAAAGGAAGGGGCTTTACCCAGAAGAAAGAACAGGAGTATGACATAGTTTCAGTTCTGTAATTTAATATATATGGACTTTATTTAGGTTGGTTTTGCAATGTTTCATGCCTTTCTTCCATCCTAGTGCAAACCTTGCAGAGGAAACTATGCAAAGATTGTAGAGGCAGCGTGCATTGCAATTACTGGTGCTGTCATACTTGAGCTAGCTTTAACCAGCTAGCTCTTGTACAGCCTCAGTGATCTGCAGTCACAACAGCAGTTGTAAATGTATGCCACTCTGCAATCTGCTGCAGTTCCTTAACTTGCTTGTGGTGGTTCTTGTGTTTCTGCATGGAGAACTGAATTTTGGAATTGCCAATCTACATGTTGTTCAGGTACAGGAAAGTACAGATCTTACCTGGTCTTTACCTTTATGCCACTTTTACATAGGTTTAAACTTTACAGCATAACATAAAGCAAGATTAATATCTTTACAGCTCTACTGTTTCAACTCTACTTTGTGTCAGCTGATGCAATAAAATTCTTAAAAGTAGCCTGTAATGTAATACATTCCAGTTCTTAAACTAGACCCAAAAGATACTTAAGATTCTTGACATAGTATTCTGTTCATGTGAGTGGTTAAAAGGAAAAAAAAATTGTAAATTCTAGGGGCAACCTATATTTGCTTAATCTTTATTTGGTTAACCAGTCTCAGTAGCCCTTATCCAATTGATGTATCAGGATGAAAACATCACCTTGATTTTAAAACAAGGTGCAGTAATCTATTCCTTTTAAAAAGCTACTGGTTGAAAGTTAAAAAAAGTAACTGTGGAATTTGGAGTCTAAGTGTTTGAAATACAGACAGTATAATTGAAACTTTTTTTCCTCTGTGTCAAGTTTTTCTCTGAGCACACTTTAAAGGTGAATATTTTTGGACAGAACTTGCACAAGACCCCTTCCCTTCCCTTCCCTTCCCTTCCCTTCCCTTCCCTTCCCTTCCCTTCCCTTCCCTTCCCTTCCCTTCCCTTCCCTTCCCTTCCCTTCCCTTCCCTTCCCTTCCCTTCCCTTCCCTTCCCTTCCCTTCCCTTCCCTTCCCTTCCCTTCCCTTCCCTTCCCTTCCCTTCCCTTCCCTTCCCTCCCTTCCCTTCCCTTCCCTTCCCTTCCCTTCCCTTCCCTTCCCTTCCCTTCCCTTCCCTTCCCTTCCCTTCCCTTCCCTTCCCTTCCCTTCCCTTCCCTTCCCTTCCCTTCCCTTCCCTTCCCTCAGACTTCACTTGAGGAAAATTACTTAATTTATTGTCAATTAATAATAGAGTAGGATAGTGAAAAATACAACTGAAAAAGGTGGTTTATGCTGCCTTTCCAGGCTCAATTTCACTTCTGACTCTGCTGCCTTCTCCTGCTGAGGGAGGTGAGGAATGAGGGTTGCAGTCAGTCTATAACATCTCATCTGTACCATTTTTATCTCCTCATGCTGTTTCCCTGCTCCATTGTGGGGTCCCTTCCCCCCCAGTGGGAAACAGTCACACACTTCTCCAATGTGGACCCTTCCTGTGGGCTACTGTTCTACAGAACTGCTCCAGCATGGTTCGTTTCCATTGGGTACAGTCCTTCAGGCATGGACTGCTCCAGGGTGGGCTCCCCACAGGATCACAGCTCCTGCCAGAAATCCTGCTGCTGTGTGGGATCCACTGCATTAGCCACAGCTTCTGCCAAGAGCCTGCTCCAGCATAAGCTTTCCACAGGCTCCAACTTCTTACAGGCCATCTCTGCCTTCTCTAGTGTGGGGTCCTCCCTGTGCTGCAGGTGGATATCTACTCCATATGCATGAACCCCCATGGACTGCAGGGGACAGCCTGCCTCACCATGGGCTCCAGGGGAATCTCTGCTCTGGGGCCTGGAGTACCTCCTCCCCTCCTTCACTGACCTTTGTGTCTGCAGTTTTGTTTCTCTCACATTTTTCTCACTCCTCTCTCACTGCTGCCACACAGTGGTTTTTATACTTTCCTAAATATGCTGTCACAGAGGTGCCATCAGTATTGCTGATGGGCTCAGCTTTGGGCAGCAACAGGCTTGTTTTGGAGCCAGCTGAAACTGTCAGAAGTGGGGGAAGCTTCTGATCAGTTCTCACAGGGGCCATCCCTGCAACTCCCTGCTACCAAAGCTATGCCATGTAAACCCAATGTGCGTGCACACTTCTAGTAAAAAGTGGTATCGAGTCGGCCATCACCCTTGCTCCCTGTATCCGCTGTGAAGGGAAATAGTTGCATTTTCATTTATATTTGCAGCATTGAGAAATAACAGTAATCTGTATAAAAATGTCCTTTTAGCTTATAAATCTGTAGTACAGATTTTTTTTTAATAGAAATTAAGTGAAATAATCTTTTTATTAGCATTATCTGGCTTTTTCCTAATAGTACTCAAATGATCAGCATAATTTCTTGGTTCTGTATATGCTTAATGTGCAAGATCTGTCCAGAATAAACAAATCTTGACCCCAAGATAGGACATTTTACTATCTGTTACTCTAGAAGGTGTTTTGTAGGCTTCCTTTATGTAGTAATTGAAGTTACTTATATATAAGGGTTTGGTTTGCCTCTGATTAAAACCAGTTTTTTTTTCCTTACTCCTTGCTAATAAGAGAATTTCAGACTTTCTGTGGGGCTTATCAGTTAGGCATGCAATTACTATTGAATCTATAGATGTTGAATGTCCAGCTGTTTGAAATTAGATGGCTGTTCACTTTTATTTTCTTCTATAGTAAGGCATGAAAGGTAGGCAAAACTTGAAATTCTGTATCCACCAAACCTGAAATTTTGTGGATACACTCTCATGAATGCTGTCTTAACAGTGGTATTGATTTTTCCACATTTCTGTACTGTTTTTTAAAAACTGAATTTTCCAGTGAAATGAATTTTATAAACATAGCCAAGACTATTCAAGTGGTGCCAAACTAAATTCACCCAAGGAAGAAGCACTTTGTGTAAGAGGAATTCAAATTGTCAGTATGTCGTAAGAATTTGTTCTAATTTTTATACACAAATAAATGTTCAGTGAGTCCACAAATTCTAGTTTTATAAACTAGAACGATACCTTTTGGGGGTTTTACAGGTGTACATCTGGTATTTTGTACTTCTAGGCTATTTTTCCCTGACCAGCCACCACTGCAAACACTAGGGTTAAGCTGAAATGGACTCTTGGATCATGCAGTTGTGAATAGTAGCATGTGTGAGAAGTAGCATTAACTGGTACAGCTGTGTGAAGGTGATTTGTGAAAACTTGTTCAAAGACCACATTCAATTGTTGAATACCATGTATAATTTTTTTTCATGTAAAAAAAATTGCAAGGTAGGACGTAACCCTTGGAGGCTGTCATGACCATGAATTCAGTTGATACATCTGTTCTTGTGTTTATTTCCCATATCCATTAACATGTTTTGTTCCTTTGCAATTTACAGCGCAGAACTCTGCAAATGCAGGTTTTGCAAACTTTGATGCATTTGGACAGTCTAATGGCTCGAGTAATTTTGGAGGTTTCCCCACAGCAAGGCAGTCTTTTCAGCCCCAAAATACAGGTAGAACTCCTAGCACTTTTGATTAATACTTAATTGAAATAATCCTTACCTTTATGTTGGAAGGTACTTAAGTTTTCTTGCATCTGCCTGCTTTAATATAATCAAGCAATCTGAAGCTCTGGGGAAACTCAAAATGAATTCCTTCTATTTGGTGTTGATTTTTATTTCCCCCACCCACCCACCTACCCAATGCTGCGCAGAAGTCTGATTTATGGCACTATGTGTTTGTTAGCTCTACATCTGAAATAACTACGGAAAGACTAAACCACACTGCTTCTGATAAATATTAAATTGACCATCTTGTAAGAGAAGTGTTTCAGTGGACCCAAAAGCACATCACAGTACCGAAAAAAGTGTGTACCTATGTGTATGTATAACATATGCGCACACTTCAGTATGCCTGGCTTCATGTGTAGAGCCTATTGCTAAGATTCATTTTGCTTTCCTTTAATTTGATCATGCTTTAGAACTTCTGCTTGAGCTTACGTTTGCTGTTTGTCTAGATCTTTGGCTGACTGACTTTCTTTTCCTTTTTTTTTTTTTTGTTCCTTCTTTTGAGTGTGGTGTTGTTTTAAACTTTTTTTAAAATTTTCTTTCTCCCTCCTTATGTTAACTTTAACCCACACACAATTTCTGGCTCTCCAGCGTTCAGAACGCTTTCATCTAGCTGCAGTTTTGGTGAATTTACTTCAGCTTTTCCTCTCCAGGCTGTACACAGTAAGTTCCACGCAGTGGAAAACTCAGCTTGCTTCATTTTGTGCCATTGTAGTATAGCATTTTCATTCTTACTGTTGCATATGTTTTAACTTGTTGATTATGCTATTAAAATTGTGTGTTCTGCAGTATGAGTGGAATCCTCAGCCAACTGTTATAAAATGTGATACACATAATGGAACACCTTACTGAAACTTATGTGACCTGTCCAGATCAAATTGTCTGGACACTGAAGAGATGGAAGTTCATAGTTTAAAGTTTGAACTGAAGTTCAGCTGTGTGGACCTAAATCAGATTTTTAAAATTAATTTATGCATCTGATGTTAGTGGGGACTTGGTATAAAAAGAGCTGTGTTGTGTCTTCCCCCTCATCTCTTCCCAAACTCTCTAATCCTTGGCATGAAATCATACTACTTCTGGACTTCTAGGCACTGTTTTTTTTTGCTTAGAATGATGACTGACATCTGAAATGGTTAAACATTGTACTAGGAAGTAAATGCAAATAGTAGGTATTCATTAAATGTATGTCAGGAAAATGAAGCTTCTGCATTTTGAATATTAAGCATTCAAGCAAATGCACTTTTTTTTCCTTTAACGAAATACTATTGTTGAAATTACTTTTAACAGCTAACAGCATATAGTTTTTCCAGATCAAATTATGACTGATATAAGCTGTCTGGGCCTATTTTGTCCCCGATCTGCAGACTGAAAAACAGAAAAAAAAATTCTGATGATCCGATGTAACTTTGAAGGAAATGGGCAGGGGTTATACAGGTGGGGTGGGGTGAGGAAATGCTGCCTCATGCAACCAGAAAGAGGTGGGATTATTGTGCCTTCAGTTACAGTTAGAAAAACTTTCTCTAGCTTTGGAGTGTTGATCATGTTTAATTTCATTTGTTGCAGGTGGAAGTGCTGGATCAGTGAATGCTAACTTTGCTCACTTTGATAACTTCCCCAAATCCCCCAGTGCTGATTTTGGAGCCTTCAATGATTCTCAGAGCAACACAACAGCAACTGCAGCCAGTAAAGCTGCAGTGAATAAACTCAGTCTACAGTCAGCTGACAAATATGCAGCTCTTGCTAATTTAGATAATATCTTCAGCGCAGGGCAAGGTATTGAATTCTGTTATTTGATGTGCTTATTCTACATCTGTATGTGTACCACAGGGACGGCTGTGTTTGTTAAAGTAGTAACTGTATTTCAAAATGTCTTATCTTTAAATTATCGGTAGAATTTCATATCAGTGAACCCTTTATGCATAAGATGGAAGTTTTAAGACTAAAGTTTCCTTCAAAAGTCTGCATCAGAAGTCTGCTCTTTGGGAACCCAAGTGGAAATATCTAAATAATTATTACCGCAATGATGAAAATATATAAATGTATAAATATATTTTTTATATTCGTGCTATATTTCATATAGCAAAGGCTCTTGAATGGAGAGCTACAGTTGTAGAGAACTGCCCAAGTAGCTTTCTTACCTCTCTGCCTTAAAGACTTTGCTTAAAGTTTTTTATCAAATAGCAGTGATACTTGGATTTAGTTGATTTTAAGGAGGAAAAAAATCCTAGTTATTCTGTAACCTTTTTCTTCTCAAATGGTGTGTAAACAAATGTGTTGGTTTGCAGTGTAGAGCTTTTTTCTGAAATGGATTATTTGAGGGTATGTCTTTTATGAAATTTTCCTGTTGAAGATGATGGTAGCATTGAGTTAATATTTTTCAGGGAAACCAAAAGCTCTTTGAAGCTACAGAATATCTATAAAAGCATGACACTTTGCAAATAGCTAATGGCTGGTTATATACAGTTTTTTCTCCTGTATGGAGCATATTTCATTTTTGAGTCTGAAACGTAAACTCTCCATAAACTTTCATTCTGTTCTCAACATTGGGAGCACAAAATATGAAACTTTCTTCATTACTTCTAATCCGGTTTCTTTCTTTCTAGGTGGTAGTGAGCAAGGAAGTGGCTTCAGTACAGTAGTGTCAGCATCAGCAGGTCCTGCGTTGTCAGCCCCAAATCAGTCAAGTGCATCTTCAGACAAGTATGCTGCTTTAGCAGAATTAGACAGCGTGTTCAGCTCTACAGCAACCTCTAGTAACGCATATACTTCCACCAGTAAAGTTAGCAGGTACTTTGTTAGAAGTAGCTGACTTTCTTTGTGGATTCCAGCAGTATGCACAAAAATAACTCAAAGTTGTCTCTTGAATCTATTATTTCTTACCTAAATAGGGAAATACTGAATGAGTTTAGAGGTACTTCTGAAACTGTCCTGTGTTTTAAATAGCAGCAGTACTGTTTGATGAGATATTATAAAAATAAGAATACTTTCTGTCAGCTTAATGTTCTCTGCGCTTTTCTAGTCATTGCATGGTAAACCTGTTGGATGGTAACGCTTTCCTGTACAGATTGCATGCAGAGTGAAAATCATAGCATCATCCCTGGCAAAAGAATTATTCAGCTATTTATAATGTAAATGGTGCCACCACTTTTTTTTATATCATAAAAGTAATAAATACCAAGTGCCTGTTAAAGCTCCATTTGGTATTGCAGGTGCCCCATAGCCTCTGCTTTGCAACTTTTCTGTTACTGGCCTCTGTTTAATACTTTGTCCTGCTGTTGGTGAAGATGACTTTTCATTGCTTAGCAGTAGTTACAATCTTTGACCCTGGCAGCAGGGGCTCAGTTCTGTGCATCAGTGAATTGTGTAGCAGTTTGCAAACTGCACTTAAGCATTTCTTTTTTTTTTTTTTTTTTTTAATATGCCAGCAGTAATTGTAAATAGTATTTAAGTGTTAAACAAGCAATTCTGACATCAGTGACGTATGAATTATTTTCAGCAATGCTTTTGGAACAGTACCCGTGGCTGCTACTGCGCAGACACAGCCTGCATCTTCGAGTGTGCCTGCTCCATTTGGAGGTATAGAAGTGTTACTAAAATCTTCTATGGACTGTTAGCAAACAAAGCATCTTATTAATTTTTTTGTTGATAGTGTTATACTTCGACACAAGTGATGTTGCAGTTACTAAAAGATGCAAAAAAAGTACAGTTGTTATGATGCTTTTTATATTAAGCATTTTATTATCATTTCCTATTTTTCATATAATTTTAGATATGTATCTTTATAAAAGCTGTATAAACTTAATATATTGAGTCAGATTGGCTATTTTTAAAAGATGTTATTAAATAAGTTGTCTTTAATCTTTCAGCAACACCTTCCACAAATCCATTTGTAGCTGCCCCTGTTGCCCCAGTGGTACCTTCAACAAATCCATTCCAGACCAATAGCCGAGGAGCAACAGGTTAGGAAAAAAGACACTTAACTGTTTGAGAAACTTTCTTTCAAGACTTGCATTGATTCTTTTTTTTTTCTCTTTTTTTCATAGCTGGGTAACTTGTTTCTGAACGTTTTTCTGTATTATCTATCTCTAGTCTATTTGCTGTGGTGTGTGTGTGTGTGTTCAATGTAGAGTACAATATTTATGAACAGGCTGCAGAAATCAACTTTTTCTTGATAAAAAAAAATTTTTTTAATTGAGCAGAGGATGTTATTTTTCTGTTTCAAAAGGTGGCCATGTTTTTTAAGATCTACCTAGCCTGTTTGCATCTGTGTATTACTACTTGGGTGCCTTCTTAGACTATAACCTTGGTTTTGAGGCATGCTTCATAGCAGGTTGCCCTTACATCGTGAATCTTGAAAGCCTTGCTGCTAAGCTGTACACTTGCGTTTTTTCTTTAGTTCAAAGTCCTTAAAGCTCTCAAAATCAGAGAGCTTGAGCTAAAACCAGGAGAATCATGACTTTTGGGGTGTTAGCTCTTCACCAGTCTGCTTATTCAGTACATTAGTATCCTTTGTTTTTCTGTCTTGTAACAGTAAAACATATGTTTAAATATAATCTTTACACTCATGAATTACATTAATTTTCTGGGGAGGATTCTGTAGAATCATAATTTCATAAACAAAACCTGAAATGCTTTATAAAAAAAAAAACAAACTTGTGCTTTTCTTTAAAAAGCTGAACTTGGATTTAGATGACTGCTAGGTTATCCTAATTTTCCTTTTCAAAGGCACTGCTAAGTTTTGGCACTTTTATCTATTAACTGGACTTTCACAGTTTTAAATCTGCTGATGTATGAGTTTTAACACTGAGTTAGGCTTTGCTCAGAGCTTTACACAGGTTGAACTAAACTGATCAGGCTGAGTTAAAACTGAATTGCTCAAATTCCTGTTCTCTGCTGAAATAGAATTCTGTTTCAGTGCCTTTTGCGTTATTATGCAGTTAAACTTGTTGAGCTGTTTAATGTCCAGAATGTCTTTCTGATTTGGATCATGGTTAAGAACTTGTAGCCTCTTTAGATGAATTTGTTTGAATATGGTAACTCTGACCTTCCACCTTCTAAACTGCTATCCCTGGCTTGCAGAGGTTCTAACCCTGTGGCAGCTATACCAATGTTAGGTACTGGGTGACAGAGATAGTGGCTGTATGTAAAGATAATTTTCTATCCTTTCAGTGTTAGGTGTAAACTTGTAGCTTGTATTTTTATGCTAAGCTTTCTTTCTGCATGAACTTTGCTATTTATTACATGGGAGATCTGCTTTGTAGCATTTGTTTCTAATGGTTTTCCAGATTAATCTATTGCTAGTCGTGCTATAGATGAATTTTTTGGTACATATATGTGTATATTTCTATATATAACTAAGAAATGACTGTTCAAGAGTGTGTAAATGATTTGACATTGTCTGGTCTCTTTGTGGCTTCCATAAGGCCTCTCGGGAGCAATGCACTCTCACATATTTCCTCAGGCTCATTTTGGTAGGTGGCCACATTTGGTATTGAGTTTCTTGTGGCTAATTGTTCTTGCTTGTAAAAGCTTATTGGTAGCTATCTGGTTCTCTGCACGTGGAATTTTGGAAGACCTTCCGTTTTGTTAAAAATGGAATGGGTGTGATCATTTGGCAACTGGGTAAGGGGAGAGAAGAGCATACCTGAACATCCTATTAAGCAACTAAAACAAAACCATTATTGATATCCTCCATGGTCACAATATAATGCTAACAAGTTGAGTGATTCAGGTTTCTACCAACAGCAGCTTGATGCCTTTTGGGATATCCCAAGTCACTGCTCATTTTGTTGTGCTTTCATTTGCCTTTTTTAGCAAGTTTTCCTGCTGAATAGCTTCTCTGCTGACTGTAACTTGAACAATGTTAGTACATTAGTTTTGCATGTACTTTGTCAACAGCTTATGTATAATGTCTTGACCTTGAATACTGTTAGGGTAAATTTTTCAACAGATAGTTAAACTGTATTAGTTTAATACATGTTTGGGTTTTTTTGGTTGTCTTTTTTTTTTATTAAACAGTTGAGCTTGCATAAAATCTAACTTGCACCATCAAAAAAAACCAAGTCCTATCCAGTGTTTAACTAGAATAAAATGCTTGATGTCTGTATTTGCACCAAAAAAAACTCCCGTCTTTACACTTCTCCTTTCAAGAATAACTCCCAAAAGAGTGAATAATGGTTTTGTTACTACATTTTCGCACTTGATGTACTCCTCTTTATTTGCTGAAGGCATGTGCAATTGCATATGAGCTGAATGTTCTTTACTTGAAATGTTTAGCAGAGAATCAGATGAGAAGTTTGGGGTGGTGGTTTTTTTTTTTTTGTTTGAAGTCTTACCTCCACAGTAAGAGCATTTGCACATGGAACTTTGTGTTCAAATAATCTGCATGGTGAGAATTTCCTATGAAATGAGGATGGGATGAAGAGAGAGGGGATGCATGTATCCCTTAGTACTTTTTTGTTATTCTTCATTTGTAACTTCCTGTAATGCAGCTTGAGTAGGAAGATCCTTTCATGCTTTTCTCAGATGCAGAAAACCAGAGAGGCTTATGCTGCCTGAAAGTGCTTGCTTCTGATACATGCATTTACCAGAAAAGCTGTGGGGGAAGTGTATGATAATGCAGACAGCATCAAAAGTAATTCCTTGTCAGAAGGTATATCTGGGTGTGCTGAATCTAGCAAATCTTAAATGATTCCATTTTTAAAGTGCAGGAGTAAATTATGCACTTAGTTGGTGATGATCCAAGCTAACAAATCAGTTCAGTGGCTGTAGAAGTTGAACCTAACTTACTGTATGGTCACTGAGGCATTAGGAAGCTTTTCCTAACATGACGTTATAGTAATTTGTCTCATGGAAAAAAAGTGATTTCTTACAAATAATTGACTGTTATTTTTTGCCTACCAGCAGCAACATTTGGTACTGCATCCGTGAGCATGCCTGCAGGATTTGGAACTCCTGCCTCCTACAGTCTTCTTCCTACTAGTCTTAGTGGCAACTTCCAGCAGCCCACGTTCCCAACCCAGGCAGCTTTCTCTCAACAGACTGCTTTTGCTCAGCAGCCAAATGGTAGGTCGATACATTTTAGATAATGTTGTTTAAATTGGAAGCACAGAGAAAATTATTTTTCTGTAAGTTAGCAAAAATGGCTGCATATTTATTTCTTTGTGAACTTGATAACTTTGAGGTGTTCCCACACTGTGTTTTGGCTCCATGTTGTGCTTTCTGACTTGTCTGTGTGCAATGACGTAACTGAAATTTTACCCTAATCTGATACTAAAATTAAAAGTATTCCTTGGCTTAGAAGGGATTTTAAGCAGGCTGGATTGGATTGCTTTGCCTTCATTTTTGGAGTTTCTGCAACTGATTGTAACATTTTCTCTAACTTCACGGAACACAGGCAAGAGAAGATTAGGAAGTACTTGTTTATTTAAATGATAAAATTACATTGAAAAAAGTGCATGTGTAGAAATCGAAATTGATTAGTTCCAAACAAACAAAAAGTTTGAAAACAAACAAAGCCCAGCTATATTTTTTACACTTCAGATTCCTGATAGTGTTTCAGTAGGATCAGTCGTGCCAAGCTTCCACTTATTTTTGTGTAGGAGCTGCCTCAAAGAACTCTTTGTACTCTACTAGTATTAATATTTTTCATTTGTCTTTCCAAGGAGCAAGTTTTGCTGCATTTGGACAGGCAAAGCCTCTAGTAACTTCTTTTGGACAAGTTGCAGCTGTTGGAGTACCTAGTAACCCTTTTATGGTGAGTTGTTGCATGATATTAAGTTCTGTCTGAAGAGACATAATGTGTAACAGTTCAATTAGAGACACACAAAGATTTTGGGTTTGTGGCTTGGTTTTTTTCTGGGTTTTGTTTGTTTGGTTTTGGATTATTTTTTTCTTTTGTTTGTTTTTGTTTTTCTTCAAGTAAGGGAAGGTAGCACATGAATCTCCTACATGCAATTCAGTATGACAATGACATGGCATTTGTAAGGCTAGTCAGATCAAAACAGAGGTACTTGTATACCTTCCTCTTATAGGAGTATAATTTGAGAAGTACCGGGGGAAAAAGACTGCAACATAAGAAAAATTTATCCTAATAGGGTGTGGTTTTTTTTAATGTATCTTGCATTAATGGTTTACAATCCAAAACCAAAAAACTTAAATATTCATCTTAATTTTCTTCTTTTATTCCCCCCTAGGCTGGTGCACCAACAGGACAATTCCCAACAGGAAGCCCATCAACCAATCCTTTCTTATAGCCTTATAGACACTTTACCCAAAAGAACTCTTACATGGTCACATAACATCTCTGCGCCTCTTGCACTGTTGTCTTGTTTCACTGATATTAGCTTTAAACACAAAAGAAGTCTTTAAGAAGTAAAAATAAAAGCCTGCATTGTGTACCTTTAAGAAAATGAAAAATATTAATAAAAAATCCCAAAACAAACACCACCACAAAAGCCACAAAAACCCCCAAGAAAATCAACCCCCCCCCCCCCAGGTAATAATGTGCAAAATGGAGGGCTATGGTAACATCCTTGATCCTATGAGCTGGCAGGTAAAAAGTAGCGGTATCATGTATATTAAAATTGGCTAATAAGTTATTGCAGATACCACATTCATTATGCTGCAGTACTGTACATATTTTTCTTAGAAAATAGCTATTTGTGCATATCAGTATTTGTAACTTTAACACATTGTTATGTGAAAAATGTTACTGGGGAATAGATCAGCCACTTAAGGTGCTGTTGTATCTCTTGGAATGAATGAGCTACATCATTTTAACCATTGGTATTGGAAGTCATGAAGTTAAATTGAAGGTTTGTTCATTTCTCAATGTTTTCCTTTCCTAAGAGCTCTTCTATTTATACATGCCTAAATCTCTAATGTTAGAGGGATACCTGTCTGCATAATAAAGCTGATCATGTTTTGCTACAGTTTGCAGGTGAAAAAAATAAATATTAGAAAAAAAAAACCCATGTAGCATTATTTCTGTGCAGTAACATTTTATTGGGTTAAAATGTATTTACTGTGAGACTTTTACACAGAGGAATTATCAAAAGCAAAATGCTTAAAGGTTGAGTTAAGCTTAAAATTTTCACATGCCTCACTCTGGATATGTTTCTTTGTGTCCTTGTGATTAAGCTTGCTGTTCTAGCCCAAGTAAAGTGACATATCAAACAGGAAACTCTTAAGTGAACTTGGATTATTTTGACAGAGTAGCTCTGTAATGAAGGACACTGAAAGCAGTAAGGAGGGTAGTTACTGGGGAAGTGGTTAGCTGGAAAAGGCACATACTTACATGTAGCTAATGATAGTCTTTGAACAAGACGTAGTTGTGATCACAACAGTGTGTATTTGCAGGCCAAGGTACCACAGCTGTAATAGCACTCTTTTGATTAAAAATTGATATAAGTAATGCCTCCTGTGTAATATTAATTGATTATTTTTTTTATTTACTGGAATATTTCCTGCCTTACTAGCATGGAATTTGTAGACAAGGAAGAAATGTCTGGCTTGTTTATTCTGTAACACTAATAAGGTTCAAGAAAAATATAACTCTGCATCAGATTAGTTGGTGATGGTGTGTTAAACTAAGGGAGAACTTGGCTTAAAGTCAAGTGTAATACTGGAACTAAACAAATAATGTAAATATACGATGAATACATCGACTGCAAGCTTAAAGGTTTCAGACTACTGGGGAATAAAATCATAATACCCTTCAAGATAACAGGAATAAATAAGATCAGATATAGTTTTGAGGAAAGGATGTGTAAGTCCATGTGAGGTAAACTCTCAAAGGTAAGACATTTTCACTTGTCATTTTCTGGCTGATTGGTAGGTCTGCTTATTTGTAGGGGAGCTGAAAGACTTGACTGCTGCTTGTAAAAACCCTTCTTATGCCAGTGCTTTTGATTTCTGTTGCCTGTCTGTGGGGAGGTAGTAGTTTCTCTGTGTGTGTGTGTATTTTTATTTTTTATTTTTCTTTTTATTTAAGCTTTGGAGATCCCAAAGGGGACAGGCAGCTTGTGCAATAATCTGCTTAAAGCAGCATTTGTTATTGAAGTGTATGGGTTTGCTCTGTTGGCGTATTTAGAGTTAAAACAGACTTGATGTATGTCTTTTCCTTCTGATGTGGAGTGCTGTATGTATATATGATAGTATATGAGAGTATATGAGATATATATGAGAGTATGATGTATAGCTTAATTCCCAAGGTTCTCTGTGAAATTCACTAAATAAATCCTCAGCAATTGAGGGTTTCCGGGATGCTAGTGATGCCCTTGCTCTCGCCACTGTTTTTTAGCAAAGTATAAGTAGCTTGTAGTGCTTCCCTGTTGTTTATCTTCCTTGTTTTGGAATACTAATGCGTAAATTCAGTAGAGAACTGAATTATGAAATACAGGGGAACTGCAAGGATTCAGAAGGATGTGTTAAACACTTAACTATGCTTATTGCAGGGAACTGGATAAAATCTACCAAATGTCTCATCAAGATGAACAGACTTATGGAAGGGAAACAATCCTGTGATCTGCACTTTAATATAAATGAAGCTTTGGGTAAGGCTTCATTCATCAGCATCTATTGAAATTACTGCTGAGGAATGAAGATGATTACTGCTAAGAGATACTGAAATGCATTTAAGCATGCAAGTCATGTAGTTTTAGATTATGCTGCAGAAATAGTAGAATACCTTATTTTTCGTAAGTAGCTTGAATACAGGTAAAAGGTTGGCAACTTTCATTATACACAACCATGTCTGTTTAATGTTTGTTCGCTAAGTTTTCCAAGCTCCAGATAAGTAGCTGAAGATCTTGAATTGTTTTGAGTCTCCTTTATGTTGAGCAGAAACTGACACCATAGCTGTTTTGTTGATTACATTTTGAAAATAGCTATATTTACAAAATTAATTCTTTTCCTGTGATTGTGTTTTGTCTTTGAAACCTCTGCAGTTGGTCTCACAATTGCTCATGCAACTAGCATGGTTGCTAAAAAGCTATACTTTCACTAGCTTTTCAGTATCCTCTGTTTTAGAATCAAAGCATTTAACTTTAGCCCTTCTACAGAAATTCATTTGTAGACCACCTAGATTAATACTTTCAATCCTATTATGTCAGCTCTTATGTGTATAAGACAATGCTGTAAGAGGTGCATCCTGAGTTCTACAAGGCAGATGTGATGCTCAGGTGCTGCAGGTTGGACTTATTTAATGGCTGCAGACCCCCAAGCACCATGTTGAAACAAATGCTAAGGCAAGAGATAAATTTGCAAAGGACCAAATTTAGTCAGAATTCCTGAAAAAGAATTGTGAATAAGATGCAAGTATTTTGCTCTTTTGAAGGAAAAACTTACTGGGGCATAAAGGCAAGCTCAAGCAGCTTTTAAAATTATGTTTTTACAGGAATTAATGACTTTGGGGAAACATTGGTTTACTTCTGACTCTTGGCAAATCTGTAAGTTGTGGTAAAGACAATGTAATTTGCTGCTGTCTGATACAGTTGACTCCAAAGTGGGCATTATTGAATCAGTAGGAAAAATAGTACCTAACTAGCTTTAGTTAAATAACACAACTAGAAGTTTAGATATAAGACTGCCTTGGAAAGAAATTGAAATGTCTCTCCATGGTATAAAATAATAAGCTAGTTTGGGAGGGGTTTTGTTTCTGAAGGTAAGTGTGGGTTGGTCATGGCATTTATCAGACCTAATTAACACATAGGCCTATCAGGACAGACACTAAAAAGGAAGGTTAGTGTTTTGTATTTGTGCATCCCCAACAAAGTTATAGTACAGCTGTTACTGCATCAGTAGCAGTATATCTGTATGTAGTGGCATGTTTGACGAGGCCTTGGGTGATATGATATAGTGTGAGGTGTCCCTGCCCATGGCAGGGGGGTTGGAACTTGATGATCTTAAGGTCCTTTCCAACCCTAACTATTCTATGGTTCTATGTTTTCCTTACGTTCTTGTAACTTCACATTTCTGAGGAGTGCAGTGTCTCTGTGCAATCTGAAATGACTGCATTTGGCTGTAAACTGAAGTGGCAGTATTGCTATGCTATGCGGTGTTGCAGTAATCCACCTTGGAACACACAGAAGTAGCATCTTTTGGAAAAACAAACAAAACCAACTGGTTTATTGCTATTTAACTTGCTTTAAAAATGTGTGTCACAACTTCCAGCTGAAAAAGTTCAGATGATGCCACCTTCTGCACTGTAGCTTGCAGCCATTCCTTTTGTCTCTGTTAATGATCACTGCTTTCACCAACCACATTGGTATTTCTGCAGTTGAGGGCAATCATGGTGTATATGCTTCTGATTAGGAAAATTCCAGCTATGAATGTGAAGTAGCTGCCATAAATGAGAAACTGAGCAATGGCAGTGGGGAAGAAAGATAAGGAAAAATTAAAAACTACTTCTACTCTTAGGTAGTAACTTAAGAGTGTCCCTCTGCTGCTGCCTTCCCTTCCATGCTACCCACACCCCAAAATGATCCCATCTTGAAAGGATTCAAGAAGTCTGGATGCTTGACTTCATACTTTAGGAAGTCTGTGGCTGTAAAATGAGAGGAGGATACTGTACTATGTGCTTCCTCTCCCCACGTCAGTTAAGGGAGGAGGACAGCTATCCTGCACTTCTTGGCTCTTCTCTGAAAAGATGGAAGCTAAAGATTTGAACCTCATTCTGTACACAAGTTTAAACTTCATATTTAGAAATTGAATGGGAAATTGTGGGATCACTAACTTCTCAGAATTACAGTAACTTAAATGTGCATCCATGGAAACAATGTATCTTAGAATTACCCTAGTAATAAATCTGTAGGTTGCCTTTCAGCTTGCTTCCTGCTTCTGTTGGGATATTCTGACAGTAAATTTGTGAATTTGAAGCCTTTGAAGAAATGAACAAAACAAAAACAATAGTGAGTAATAGGTGGTGGTCTTTCCCTTCTGCTCTATGAAAACACTCTTGAAATTATTAGAGAAAAGCAAAATTAGCAGGACTGGGGGACAACTAGGTCGCAGTAGCTACTGCCAGTGCACTTCAGATGAACCTGTTTTTCAAGTGAGTAACTGCCCTAAGCTAGGACATAACCCAGTATATTACCAAAGGCTAATCGTGGAGTAGAACCCTCTTTTGGAAGAAGGGAGAGGAACTGAGCAGCACAAGTAATGTAGCTTACCTGGGTGCTGATACCGAGTCCCAGACCTTTTGAATCTACTACAAGAACAGTTAAAATTGTCTGAATCACCAGTGCAACGAAGTTGTTAAAGCCAAACATCAAAGCATAACGCTCCATGCTTAGATTGACGGCAATCTGAAACCTGAAAATGAATGTGCAGGAGAACAAAATCATGGAGAACAAATACATCTGCAGTTTTACTTATGGGGGGAAGTTTGGGAATAATTTAATGTGCACGGTGAATTCTTCAAAGGACAAAGCCTTAGCTATTAAGCTTCAACAGCACCATTTTGGCAGAAGCCTGGCTTCGGTGCTTTTGTGCATCCTACTTATCTTGAGTGGATATTTTAGTTTAAGACTTGTGCATGATCATTTGATCATTTAGAGAGTACTTGTACATAGATCATTAGAGAACTAGGCGTAGGATAAGATTGTTTCTGACTTGGAATAACCTGTTGTAATAGGTCATAAATATAAGCATAATTTTTATAAGCTAGAAATATGTGCTGCTGTCATGACCCATTTAAAAAATTTATTTCTATGAAAGCTTTCAATACAGGTAAATTTGAAAGTGTGACACTGATTTAAATTAATTAAAACAGTTGTGTATTATACTTACGTTGCTATTGTTATAAGGAGTATATAACATACTTTAAAGACAAGGTAACCAGCATAACATGCCCAGATGTTATCAGTAAAGTGCATGAGAAACAGAGAACCAGCATCCATTGCAGAGAAAATTCCCAAAGCCAGTTCTCCATAAAGATCCCAGTTTACTTTGACATATCCAACTGCCATGGATGTTGCTGAACCTAAAAATGTAAAAGTAGTAATTGGAACTCTGAAACTTTATCCTTCTAAAACCATTGCATAACTGTGTAAATGGATCACACCAGGAGCTCTGGTGACTGTTACAGTTGCAATGGGCTTTGGTAATGGTGTGGTCTGTATTTTCTGCTAGTGGTGTGGGAGACTTCTGTTGGTTTGGGTGTTTTTCTCCTTGCTTACAGAGCCTGCACAAACTGTAGTCCTCTTGAGAAAGTGCCTCATGCCTAAGGCTGGGGGCAGCAGTGCACAGTCTATTATTGCTTTGTTTTTTGACAACTGTGAGCAGAGAGAACAATCCTACCAACCATTTTCTGCCAAAATATAAATGGACTTTTTCCTTCATGGAAAGATCTTTATGAAAAGAAAATCTGTTGCACTCCATGCTTGTTTTTTTTTTTTTTAATCTATATATTTTTATTATTTTTCAATGAAAATGTAATTGTAGTTTTTGATAAATTTATGAACTGCATTTCTCAATGCCTTATTGACCTTCACATATAGTAAAAAACTTGACTGTAATATGGTATAAAAGAACTCCAGGCCTTGAATCATTTTCTAGTTTTTCATGGGGCTTTTTTTTGTTTTGTTTTCAGTTGTGGTTTTTGTGGTTTGTGAGTTTTTGGGTTTGCTGGGATTTTTGTAATCTCTGCTTTCCCAGTGTCTCCAATCCTGAGGCATTGATCAGGATACAGATGCAGTCACAGTATATTTATTTGTTCAGGAGCACTTACCCTGAAGTGATCTTTAGTTGACAGTCTTAAACAGACTATCTAGAGCAGAGTAGCTGTTAATATGCTCTTATAATTCTTAAACCACCCAGCTTAAATTATATTTGAGGGAGGCATATGAAAGGTGTCATTGCACAGGGTTTTTGAAGTGTTTACTTTGGGTTAAATTCATGGTCTAAACAGCTGTGATCTTAAACACTTAAAATGCTTTGGCGGAATGAGGCTCCCTTAAGAAAGGGAAGCTTATCTCTATATATTTAAGATGAGTTTCGAAGACTCCACTGATAAAGTTGTAGACCAAAAGCATAATGTGCACACTGTTTTGGGTATTATATATTGGAGGTTGTTGCTGTTGACCTTGGCCCTATTAGAAGAGATAGAAAGGTATGAATGACATTGCTGAAGAATACCATCAGCACAGGACAGGTTAGAAGTAATTGGTAATGATCTTTACTTACCTAGAAAAGTTGCAATTGCTTCAACAGCTCCGTTGTACACCGCAGAGCTGTGAGAGGGGGCTCTGAAGTCCCACAGCACTTGGATATAATTCAGGACCTGGTTAAAGCCTGCTGTAGCCAGAGCCCACCACAGGGACCAGTAGAGAAGTTTCCTAGAGCTGTAGCAATCCCTCAAGTCCTTGCTCAGCTGCACCAGAACCCTGAGCACATGATTCTGTGGCTTGGCATTACCAGCCTGCTGTTCAGGGGCTGGTCCCACGTCAGCAGATGGAGAGCTCTTGTCCTCTTGACAGCTCAGTGGCCTGTCGGAGCTGACCGTAGCCACTGTTTTGTGTGTTCCTGGGAGAGCTTCTGCGATGCGTTTCCTGTGGAAGAACATACTCTTCTGGGGCATTGGGAGGAAGAACGAACACAGGAATGCCAGGGACACAGAAGCCAGAGTAATGGCGTTAAGGTGAAAGTAGGATACATCTGCTAAGGAAACCAGCAGCTGTCCCAGCACAGCACCAGTGGTGGCTGCAACCAGAGTGATACTTCTGCAATAGCTCGTCACTCTCTGATAGTGATCAGTGCTGACAACACTGTAGATGTAGGCGTAATAGGCGACCTCGGTGGCTGTCACCATCCCGTAGAAGAATTCCACTATCTGCATGGCCACCACTCCACGTGCGAAGAGGAGCAAAAGCCACGTGACGATGAAGCTGATGCCTTGGAGGAGGAGGACAGGCTTGTAGCGCATATAGTCTGTAATGAGGAAGACTGGGAGAAGGAGTGCAAGATAGGAGTATGTCCAAACTGGGAAAACCTGGTTTGTAACCTAGAAGATAACAAAAGAAGACTTTTCTTTCTTTTTTCTACTAAATTAATTTGAAATGTTTCTGAGGCTTTTTGATCATGGTGTTGAAGGATCACAGTTGTAACAGGAAACACTGGATTGTGTGAATTGCGCAGGCTTAAATTGCCTTGGGGTTGGACTAGGGGATCTCCAGAGGTCCCTTCCAACCCTAATGATTCTGTGAGTCTTTGAATCTGTAAGCAAATTATGAAACTGTAAATGAGCTCCTTCAGGAGGCAAACACAGTAATGCTAGGCTCCACTAAATAGGTAGATTGGCTGAAAAATAATTCCAGTAAAAGCCTATTTTCTGCCTTAATATTTGCTACTGCACATCAGGAATTACTGTTCTTCATATTAGCTGTATGTGGGTGAACCAATCTTGTCTTTCCTAATTATACCATAGCTCCATGACTCAGCTACTTGTTAACGATGCCCACTGTTGTGGGGAAGTGTACACCCAAGGCAGTCAGTGCTGAACAGAGGAACAGAGCAAGGCAACTTGAAGCACATGGTCTCGTCAAAAAAAAAAAAAAAAAAAACCCCAAAACCCCCCACAAACAACAAAACCCACCAAAACAAAAACCCACCACCAACAATAAACCTCCCCCCCAAAAAAAAAAACAACAAAACACCCCAGCAGGTAAACAGACAAAAAAACCCCAAACCCTACAGCTTTTTAAAGTATGAATCTGGCCCCACAGGCTAATGAATGTATAGGGCAGCCCTGTAATGTAGGTAGCAATCCAACAGCTCATCTGGGGAAGTCCCCTTGGTTATCATTTGCAATCACTGTGTCATTGTCAGTGTAATCCATTCTGTGGTAAATATAAATAAGTCTTAGTGTTGCCCCTCTTCTGAGGTTCTAGGCTGAGAGGAACCAGTTGACCTGACTTTGCTGAAAATATCAGTTTCTTGAACAACCATAATAGTGGTTTCAAAGTCTTAAGAATGTAGGGACTTCAGTTTTGACTTTCTGCAAAAGAGGGGACTCCTTAATCTTTTCCAGAAGCATCTTACATATGAGTTTCCACATAAAATATACATGTATTACTGAACACTTCATCTTGCCTTCAGTTATTGGTATGCAAGTAAGAGTTAATGCTTTAAGCATTTAATTATTACTTAAAAGAATAGTTACTTCTTCAATTGTTAGGTTTTTGTCTGGTCCAGTTAGATAAGGAGTGAGAAAAGATTCTGATGGCCTCATCGTGGAGAAGAATCCATTTGCACATATGATCAGTGTGGGATAAATCCAGCTGCGGCCTACGGCTCCCTTCCAGCAATACATAGTCCTAAACAAAGAAAGAAAAAATAGAGCACAACAGGAATTTTATAAAGATTCTCTTCACAGTTGTTAAAAACTCATTTGCAAGTTTACTTTTAAACTGTCCTTACCCACAGCCCTGCTGAAGCCATAACCAGCAGCTTACTCTGGGCTTGGCAGATGGCTGGCAATGGTGGGGGCTGTCGGGAATGGTGACCCAGAGTTCTTGCTGGTATGCAAACATGACCATAATCCAGTTATCTTGCTTTCTAAATAGTGGGCAGCCTGGACCATGTCCAGCTCTCCTGCACAGCAGCAGGCTGCACATGGGGATCTCATCTCAGGTAGGGATGCCTTGAGGTTAAGAAATTCCTTGCCGCAACAAATTATGGATAAATGATTAATAGCACGTTAACTTTGAAATCTAAATGAAGTGATATAAAGGCTTGATTGTGAATATATAATCCTTTAGACATAGCTGTTGACCAAATCTGGGACTAGGATTGAATCTAGCTGCACTTAGCCTCTTTCTAAGAAGGAATTGATAAAGCAAGAGGGTCCTTCCTGAATCTTGCACCTCAGTGGGAGGTATCACTGACGGTTTTGTTCTACCATGCCCTCTTACGCAGTAAATAATCAAACGTACCTTGCTAGTGAGTCTTGTAAAACCACTGTCACATTTACCATTGAAATTAAAGTATGTTCTTGCCTCTTGTGAGTGAAGTGCATGACTCCGTCTGTGACACCCAGTTCTGCTAATGTTTCTCTCGCTAAACCTGCCAGTGATTACAGATGCAGCTTGTAAATGAACAACTTTGATCCAAGTGCATTGGTGGCAGTAAGCTCCAGCCTTTGTATTGTCTACCAAAGGTTGTTTTTAGTGACAGAATTGAGTGGATGTATCGTAGTGAAAGGATGAAGTTCCATTACAATCTCACTTCTGAATGAGTGAAACTGTGAGATTAAGGTTCTATGTCAGCATGCTCAAGAAGGCTTTTTCTTTTTTTTTTTGGTTAATTTGCAGCCTGAGAGCCAAGTGGAACAATAGAAGTACAAGCCTTTCTGCAGACAATAAAAAGCCACCAGTCAGCTTGCAACCCATTTTAAGCTCAGTTTCTTCAAAATGCTTTAATACTTACCATATTTCTTGCACTTTAGTCATTTTAGTGGGGAAAGAAAGATACAGAAACTATCTGCTCATGGTACCTGCTCAGTCCTAGAAAAAAAGAATATTGACTTCATTTTTGAAAGTAATGATCAAAAGGAAAAGTGGGATTTGTTTCTTCACAGTAGTTGGCTGCAAAAAGAAGTCTAAAGAGATTAGGGGTTGGGGTTTCTGAAGCTTATTTTGCTTGTTTTGCCTTAGAAAGTCAATTCCACTGTTCCTGGAAAGCAAGCAAAACAATGTTCTGAAACATAACAGAATGAAAGCAACACATTGATATTTAATCAAGCTGATACAAGCTATTCCTTTTAAATAGCAGAATTTTTTACATCAGGCACTTTCATAAATGCTTATACTTGCACTGTGTGATTGTATTTATTAAAACTTAGCATAAATAGTATGTTGTTAAGGCAGTATTTCTGTGACCTCAGAGGAATGTTACAAAAACCAGTCTGAACCTTAAAACTTTATTTTAAATGATTGCCTCTAATTGCCATCTTTCTCTTACAAATTGCTGCATATAAAATCATAGAATCACAGAATAGTTAGGGTTGGAAAGGACCTTAAGATCATCTAGTTCCAATCCCCCTGCCATGGCCAGGGACACCTCACATTAAACTATGTTACCCAAAGCTCTGTCCAACCTGGCCTTGAACGCTGCCAGGGATGAAGCATTCACAGCTTCCCTGGGCAACCCATTCCAGTGCCCTTACAGTAAAGAACTTCTTACTTATAGCCAATTTAAACTTTCCCTGTTTTAACCCATTACCCCTTGTCCTGTCACTACAGTCCCTAATGAATACAGCCTATACTATCTTTAGATCTGCTTTGAAATATTTTGATATGCTACCTTTTCAAAATAAGACTACATTAAAACCTGGACTTATCAGTAACATCAGCATAATCTTGCATTACTTGCAAATGCACTGAGAAAATGAGTGGCCAGCATGCTTCCAAATAACTCCAAAAGTAACGAATTACCTGTCAAAGCTGCGGCTGTGGTGCATTTCCTGTGGATTCATGTGCAGTTTCTTCCTAGGATGACTTCTGTCTTTTGAAAGAGAAGTCAGAAACCACCCTTCAGGATTGCAGGTAGTAAGAAATTTCTGCCTGTTTCTTAGAAGTTCATTCTAGACTTCATAAAATGTTAACAGACTTTATGTAATAATAATTCAACAGAGTTCTTGCTTGCAGAATTTATCCATGAAGATTGCAGGGGAAGCTTTTTCCTTTACAGGTTTTGTCAGCAAACTAATCTAATTTTTAGATAAAGCTTTAAGACTCACAGTGGCTAATGATTAATACAAACTGACATAGCAGGAATGCAATCATGATTGCATTTCTGTGTTACTGAATACCTTTGAAAGCTTTGGACTCTGATTCATGGGTAAAACACAGCATCCATTTTACAGTTTGGACTCACCCTGACCTACTCCTGTGCATAGTGTGGTGGCCTCTGGGCTCATGGGGTCTTTTCTATCTGTCCTGGCTTTGCTGGGGATGAGGGGAGGTAGGACATCCAACAACTCATACTATTAGTTGCCCAGGAATTGGTTCCGTATAAGGACCAATCTGTCATTTAAGAGTAAATTGACAAGAAGATGAGCTTCTAAGTCTATCCTCTAGGCTAAAAAAGTCAAACCTGAAGTACTTCAGAGAAATGCTGCTGCTTTGCTTTCCTTAACTCAGTGATTATTTATTTTTAATTTAATTATTCTATTGTATTTTTTTAATTGTTTTTTTAGGCTGGGCTCCCTACACCTTCCGCTGTTTGTCAGAGGGCAGAGTTAACTGTGAAGCCTGTTGTTGGAGTGGGTATTGACAGTGGGAGCATGCTGTGGCACAAGGGGCTCTGTATACTATTCAGAGCAGCTCTGTGAGCTGAACAGAGCCTGGTCTTGTTCTACAGGTGTGGAAAGCTCTCACACCGCTTGGAGTGGGTAGTGCAACCAGGCAGGCAGTGTTCAGAGAAGCCAGGCTTGCCTCTGCATTTCTTTACCAGTGATTACAGAGAAAGGGAAAGAACCAGTGGGAAGATGCTGCTGGGTAGGTCTACTGGACTGCTGAAAGGTGGCTGCTGACTAGCATTTCTCTGGTAAGCTGTGCAGTGCTGGGTTAATACCTTCTTGCTTTGAATGCAAAGATACAATTTGTTTGCTGCCTTGTTGGCCAGAACTGGGCCTTATCAGCTCGCTGGACTGTACCTTCATAGAAGACTAGTGCCCAAACCTACCAGTGTTTCAAAGGTAGGTAGTGTTGTGTTGAAAGGGGGGTGTAGCTATGGGGAGCGATGTGCTTGGCTTTGGTTTTTCATATTTGCGTGGAGTCCATTAGTATGCTGAGAGAAAGATAAAGAGTGAATGCTAAAACCTTCAAGGACAGGTGGATTGGTTCAGTTTCCTTTTCCTACAGAACTAGGGCCTGTGGTTCCAGCCTTATAACCTGCTTAGCCTCAACTACTTCCACTTCAAAGTGTGTAAGTACAAGAATACACAGGTAGATGTGTGCATCTTACCGTTTTGGATGAAGTCTCTGGTTCCTGGGTTAACACTGATTCACAGCTGAAAACATGGGGTAACATAAGGTCTTACCGTTCTCTTCTGCTTCCAATGTGTTATGTCCTTCATAACAATTTGAAGAGCTGTCATCTTCCTTTTCTATTCCCCCAGTGCTCCAAAGTCCCAACCTAGGAATCTTTCTTTTGGAAATTCAAGAGAATAGGAATAGAGTTTTTTTCTTTTCTTTTCTTCTTTTTTTTTTTTTTTTTAAGTCTTATCTGTTTTACAAAAAGTACTTTCTACATCTGCAAAACACATACATTGTGTCTACTTGGTTGCTTTGCTCCTTACTGGCATCCCATGTACATGGAAGGCAGTGAGTTCTGACCAGTTCAGAATGGAGGAATTTTTATTGTTATTTCTACCAACTTTTCTAGATTCGTTCCTGCAGCTTATTATTGCCTTTTTTTTTTTCTTTTATGAGATGTGACACAGAAATATTTGTTAACTTTCTGTACCAAAGGCAGTTTGTGGAGCTGGACATAACATGTTCTTTTTCATTGAAACAAAGTCTAATTAGATTCTAGTCCAGGACTAGTACCTAGTTCTTGAACTAAATGCCTCAAGAGCATTTAGTAGTAGTAGTCTGGGTGACATGGTTTAGTGGTAGATGTCCCTGCCCATGGCAGGAGGGTTGGAACTAGATATCTCGAGGTCCTTTCCAACCCTAACTATTCTATGACTCTATGATTCTAAGAGAAGATTCCTACTCACAAGAAAAAGTGAAATAAAACAGTCTTTGCTCTACTGGACTTTGTCCTCATTTCTTCAATCAGGAATATCATGCCCTTGATTTTGCAGTAATAAAAGATACTTACTACTTAGTGGAGACTAAGTAAATCTGCTTTTACAGCTGTTCTGCTTAGAAGCAGTTTATAACAGAGAGTGCCCACGCAAAACACGATAGTAAACTAAAAGCCTAGAAAATTAGCTGGGTTCATTTTGTCAAGTCATACTGATTGTTCTTATTACTTGAAACAAATTGATTCTCTCCTGCCTGTTTTCACCTCTGGACAGTTTGTCTAGTTGCAGTATATGACAACTGTATGAAAAGCACATAGGTCTGTAGAAATGATAGCTTGTGTGTCTACAGGAATAATATTCTTTAAATGTCAAGTAGCATCTATTTTTATTAGAAGTAGGTATTGGAAGCTAGAAGCAAATAGCAGTACAGAAATAACTTCAACATATGGATATAATTTATATTAGGTATTCACTATACAAACTCATTTATAGCCCCTTTTTTCTTCTCCTGGACTAACTGTCCTTTGTGCTGGACTAAATTAGCTGTAGGACTTGAAGCTTCTTGATAAATTCTGAGATGCTGATCCTGCCAAATCCTTGGACAAAATCAATGGACCTCCTTCATTTGGCACTCAAAAGCACACATGATGCTAGCTTTTCGCTTCAGTTATAAATTTTCTTTTGATGTTTGTGTTAATCTGGAGTTTTCCTGTGCAGAATAAGCTAAATTTCTCCACAATGTAGTTCTCTGGTTTTAGTCTGTATTACTCAGTCCTTTTTTGATATTTTTTTTTTCTTTTGCTGTTGAAATGGGAAGACACTCAGTCCTGAATTTAATTTTACTGGAAGCACAAGGAAAGGAGGAAGGGGTTTCATTTTGTTTTGACTCTGAAGTTTTTTCATTCTGGGTTGAGATTGTACTGAGTCCATAGCAGTGTTTAGGTCGTGGCTTTCAAGTGTGGGCTGAGCAACAAGTGTGGCTTAGCAGTGTTTTAGTGAAACTTCTCAGGTAGGTTGTGCAAACCCTGCTTTTCTGAACCCTTGTGTGCAAAATGCCTGCTTCTGACATGGGCTTTTAAATTAGAAGGGAGGAGCCTGTCATCAAATTGCCTGTAGTTAGGAAAGACTATAATGATGCAAATACAGCCCCTTCTTCCTTGGTTCCTTGGTGGGGAGATAGACCCCTTAACTTTTGTGCATAAGCAAAGGTGCATGGAAGCAGCTTGTCAACACCATATACAAGAGCTAGAATAAGCAAGGCAGGGTTAACTCTAATCTCTGCCATTGTGTACAGTGGAATGCCAAAATGGTTGCTCTATCCTTGTATGTAAATAACTTCTATCAAGCTATTTGTAAGTAAGTAAATAAGAACCTAAAGCAACTTATCTTTTTCTTCTTGGCACAGTGCTATTATGATGATCTCTTAGCTGGCATATGTTGTAATGGAATGCTGTAATGATTCAGCATAGCTTTTCAGGGCTGTGTTGTACATTCAGATTGCACTGCTGTTCCCTGCATGCTGCAGTAGAAACTCTTCTCCTGCTAGGGCCTGGCCATGTGAGGTTGTCTGCCTGACTCATACAGCCATGTTATATAGCCAGCTACAGTTGCTCTTCGTAAGATCTTGCTATTTTCCTTTAGCATTTGCTTGAGACAAGTGTGCAAATGCTTCTGATCAAGAAAATTCCACTTATGACTGCAAAGTAGCTGCCATAAATTAAAAACTGGGAGGGGGAGAGAAAAAGACAAAGGAATTAATGAAAAACACATTAGGGAAACAGTGCTGCTTTTTTTTATTTGTTTTTTTGTTGTTGTTTTGTTTTGGTTTTTTTGAGATGTCAAGCACTCTTTTGTTTACCTGTGTTCTGGCACACTTTCTTTATGCTCAAGTTTTTACTTTGTGATTAAGCAAAATCTTAGCTTTTCCAGCAAACAGCAGATCTTTGAGGCATAGAGAACTGCCCCTTGCTTCCATTCTTATGCCTCTTAATTAACATCAGGGGGTAAAGGATAGGAACAGGATTTTTTACTATTTGTGCAAAATATAGAAGTAGCTTCATTACCTGTGGTCATGAATATTGCAAGTGACTTTTGATCAGTATTTCCAACAACAGAGGCAAGGCTATTTATGAAGTCTTCATATTCCTGTCCTTAATTTCAAAGTTTTGGTTTTAGTGTTTAATTCAATCTTTAATTTTTTAAAATTACTTCTGCCTTCACTGTGTGGAATATCTGAATAGCTTTAGTCTTCTTCCACAGAGTAGGAAGCTGCCTCAGCTGAGATCGCATTTAAGAAAGTGCTGAAGTCGGTACATTTCACTTCATTCTGACATGAGTGGAATTGGGCTGACTGAAGTTAGGGACACTTTTGAGATACCATATCCCACCCCAACTTAAGTGCGCAAGCTATGGGCAAGACACTTTATTATTCACATTGAGATACAGACCAGGTTTGCTTCTGCTCTGGAACGAGAAGGCAGGTGTCCTTCCTTTTCACATGAGCTGAAATTAATTCATTAATCTAGGCTGTGTTTCACAGCCTTGAACTTTCCTAACAACATGTAGCCATGTTGATTCTACATCTAAGAAAATCAGAGGATGCTATTCAGTGTCCTATTAATTAACAATCTGATCAGATAGCAGTGCCTCATTATTTATGCTCTGCTGTATTTGCCTTTGAATAGTTAAAGACCAGTATCTGTAATCCTAAATATTGCACTAAAAGTTGAAAGGGAATAATTATGGTAGGCATGAGGGAAAAGCAAGATGTATAGATTTCTATAGAAGAAAGAGGGAATTAAATTGTCCTTTGGAATAGCAATTTCTTTCTTGGTAAGCTTTTGAAAATTAAGTAAATTAATTTAAATTAATTAAATTACTATTAACTTACTTCCTGTTTACTTAATCAAAATTAAGTAAATTAATTTTTAATTAAGTAAACAGGAAGTAAGTTAATAACA